TTGTCTTTACTAAAAGTCGGGCGGGCGGTTCAGCGCAGGCTTCATATATTCCTGCGTCCTAGGTCAAAGCGCATCATTCTGCGAACCCCTCGCCCCCCCCACCCCCACCCCCCCCCCCCCCCGAAAAAAAAGCAACAACAACAAAAAACAGTTTATTTATAGCTTCGAATTTACTAAATTAAGTTTGGTTTAGAAACCTAATCCATGGACGCAACCTGTATAATCTTTGAACCAGATTATATTTTTAAATCAAATCTACACTGCTTCATTATATTATATCAAGACTTTTTCCAAAAATATTCTGAAAAAAAAATATTAGGTAATGTTCCTTCCTAAGGGAAATGCGGCTCTGTGTTGGATAGGTGGCTCTGAAAATATCAGAGTTAAGAACCACTTAAGACCAAACTACATACCAAATGAAAATGAATGCTAATTAAAGTCGGTTGGTATGTGCGACGCTGAATAGATTTTAAGCCCTAACTAAGCCAACATAAAAAAAGGTCGAATCAAAACCGTGGCTTCTGTGTCGACTCGTTTATTTCAATTCTTTGCTTTGATCCCCGACGAAGTTTTGGGGCCATAAATTATTCACTGGTATTTCGCGTAGGTTACTCATCTTTGTCCCACTGCGACTGTCCTGGTTACCGGCTAAAGACAGGGTCATATTAAAATATTGCTCAGATATAGGATAACATCGCTCTGTCATCACGATGTCCTTTAATAGAGAACGTGTCTGTACTCATCACTATTTCCCCCCTCCCCCCCACTTCCCCGAGTTTAACCAGTCGTCTCTGCGGAAAAAACAAGCACGCACTTGAGGTTCAAGGTCGTTCCTACTTCCTTTCGGCGCTGATCACTCTCGCACTACTTGGATCGTTTCCTATTGTACTTTCTGATAGGCGTCAGAGAGCAGCTCACATTGTTTGAGGGAATCAAAAGTTACTTTTTCAGTAGTGTTGTACAAAATGAATGAGCCGGCATTGTCCCTGCAGCAGCATTAAAGTTTTTTGGGGGAAAAGGGTTTGGGGGGGGGGGGGGAATGCTTCTTGATTGTAAAATTTCGTGTATTTTAAGGAACATTTCACGCGGCTAAGCTTATTTCCACACTAGGTAATTCGTTTCTCATACAAAACAAATAATTATGTTCCCAAATCGATAAATCAGATTTGTAATATTTTTCATGTAACGATAAAAATAATTTTAAATTCTTCATTTTTTTTAATTGATACAAATAATATCACCATCATCCTCATTTTAATGAATTAATTTCTTTATCTTTTGCATTGTTACGTAGTGTTTTTTTAAGAATTTGCTCATTTGTGTGTTTTTTTTAATTCTTTTTTTCGTAACAATAATTAACAAAAGACTGAAAACTAGTTACAGAGAAAATCGATACCAAAGCTGGTGATATTAGTAATATCGAATTTAATACTGTTACGTTTATATTTAAAAAATACCAAATCAAATAATCAGAAATTTATGATTTTGGGGAACCTCATGGTTTGATAAACCTCATGGTCTTGGGGAACACCATGCGCTTGGGGAACACCATGTGCTTGGGGAATGTCATGGTTTGGTGAACTTCATGGTCTTGGGGAACACCATGTGCTTGGGGAATGTCATGGTTTGGTGAACCTCATGATTTTGGGGGAACTCCATGGTCTTGGGGAATCTCATGGTTTGGTGAACTTCATGGTCTTGGGGAACACCATGTGCTTGGGGAATCTCATGGTTTGGTGAACTTCATGGTCTTGTAGAACACCATGTGTTTGGGGAATCTCATGGTTTTGGGAACCCCGTGGTCTTGGGGACACGATGGTCTTGGGGAATCTCATGGTTTGGTGAACCTCATGGTCTTGGAGAACCGCAAGGTCTTTTGGAATCTCAAGGAGCAATTGGAAAAAAAAGTGGCAACTGACAGAGTAGGGTCCCAGAACAAATACAGCAAGGGAACATCAGGAGCGGTACGCGATTGATGCTGTTTTGGCGAAACAAACTAAAAGCTGTTGGCAACTTTTCTCATAATTATATTTACAGAAAAAGGGACGCTAAATACTACTGGGAGCACTAAATACTACAGGGAGAACTAAATACTTCAGGGAAAACTAAATACTACAGGGAGCACTAAATACTAGAGGGAGAACTAAACACTACAGGGGTAAATAAATACTACAGGGAGCTCTAAATACTACAGGGAGCACAAAATACTACAGCGTGAAATAAATACTACAGGGAGAGCTAGGTACGCAAGGTAACAAAAAAGTATATTAACCCCCCAATTTATTCCAAATTTATTTTTAAACGGAACACTTCGGGCAATTTGCGGGGCTTCCCCCTAAATGCGCCACCGCAACCTCATGGTATTCAATGTTCCTACAGCTCTCGGCTCTTCCGTATCGCTCAACTCAAACGACGGGAATAGTTTGGTCCCGATTTGAGTTCAAGTAGGGGTGACACTCAGATTATGTACCACAGCGGCACGCAAGGTGTGCTGGTTTCTGTTTACTCGGTTTCTCCGAACTGTGACGATTTCACACTGTGTCGTTGAAATATTATGGCCGTTCAAGCAACGTGTGTGTGTGTAGGCGTGCATCGCCTTACACTTGACACGCTGGTGGATTGACTGTGTGCAATAGGTAGTGTTTCACGTACGTCTGGTAGTGTTTCACGTACGTTTGGTAGTGCATCGGTGCATTGTACTGCATGGTAATATTGTGTTCTGAGTAGTCAGTGTGTTTTTAATAGAAGTATATATATATATATATATAAATCGTCCATGCATTGTTCAAATAAGTATATAATCACGTGCAACTATTCGCGATGGAAATATAAGACCCAATGATTAGTTTCAATGCAGCGTTAATTCGACTAAAACAAATACATGACAAAATTACCAGACTTATTTTAGTGCATAGGTGATGCGTTCATTAAGTTAGATCAATACAGTGTGCGTAAATGAATGTTACAAACAAAGCCTGCACAACATACGGCCCGCGGCCATTACCCACTTTGCGTTCCCATCTGTAACGAAATTTCCTTTTTGTCATTTTTTTTTAAAAGCTCCCCCCCCCCCCCCATCAAAAAAAAAAAAATCCGCTTTCTTTTCTATCCGCACAAGTTTATCATCAAGTATAACGGCCTGCCTTACAATTTGAGCTGTGCAGGCCTGTTTGTGGGTTATTATGAATAGGCCTACAAATCGCTAATTCACAGGGGCGAAGAATTTGGGGTAATAAACTTTGGAGTAAGCTCGGCTCATCTTGAGGAATTGCCTGGAAATATCCGGGGCGCCTAACTTTAATGTCCTACTTGTTAAGTGTCCACAGGGGCTATAGGAAATATATCTTTATGAGCCTAAAGGTGCCAGCCACTCATTCATTATTTTATCAATTGACACCTTTTGTGTTTTCCCCTATTTCCCTTATTGTTTCCCCTAAAGCAATGAAAAGGACACCGCCAACAAAATAATAATACATTTATACATTTTTAAATAGCATTGTGCCCGAGTTCTGCCAACACGAGGACCTTGAATATGACAGTGTTTGAGTTTTAAGAATTGTTCACTAAGCCTATGATAAAAACTATACTTTCTACCATATTGAGAGGTATACTACTAGGTAACCCATGGTACATGAGGGTTTGAGACACGCGTAATGCGCTGGGCATCAATGCCCTGAGTGACGTTCTTGCGTGCCGCTTCGCGGACCTCCCAGCATTTGGACAGGGTGTCGGTGTTGTAAAGCTATGTCGACTTTATCGCTACTGTTTATCATTCTGTTTAAGACATTTGATGTGGTTCTTTTTTTTTTTTTGTTCAACTCAAACCTCCACCTAATATTTTTTAGACATGTCTAAAAGTTCATCGTATTCCCTAAGTTCTCTGAGGTAGAAAAAAAGCCCAAGGGCTTACCACTTGCGCTGAGTGTTTTCATATGTGTCTACATATTTTTAAATCTCTTTAAATCACCACACGGTAAAACTCGTGCATTCTTTATGTTCTCTTATCTGGATATTTTTTTTTTAAAAAACCTCTTTAAAAGAATTGAATGACAATTTAAGGTATAAAGTGTTAGTACTTAAATCTATGGGCATACTAAAGCAACTTCTGGACACTGGACACAGGACACCAGCCAACAGCTGTACAACTAAGGCCACCTTTTTTTAAACAAAATGTTGTATGGAGGAATGCGCTCGTTACGGAACACGGATCTTTTCAATGTGGACTACCCGCAGGTAAAAACCCAACTTTATCTCGGTGAAATGAATGGATTTCCCTCAACGTGAATAATTTTGAGCATTAAAAAACAACAACTAATGAACAGAATAATAATAGGAGAGACGTGGCTTACTGCATACTATCAAGGAGTGTGTTCTTTGTATTCTCTCTCAATACTTCTAGCGTATTCTTACAGATGTGGTGTGCCACTGAACTGAGTCATTACATTTTTATGACACCGGAGTGTGTTTTGACAATCTTCTCAATACTGTTGATGAGGCCAATCTCATGATGAACACATTGGAAACGGACCCTGCAGGGAGCCTTTTTGTGTATCTGAATTAAGCATTTCGTGATGGTGAATTGTTACTTTTAGAAATTAAATGAACTAAATAACTTTTATATGACTCGCGTTCGGCGTAGTGAATTATTTCGTTAATAGTTAAAATAAGTTCGTGGATGATCTATAATTAGAATGACGTGTGCAAATAAAAATATGAGCCCCTCGCAGAGAGAAAACCTCTCGACGGAAGATGCTGCCAGTGTCAATGGCGACAGGGGCGTCGTGGCCAAGAGTGGCGGTCTCGATAAATCAGATTTTAATCTTCAGCTGTTTCCATGCAAGGGGCAATCAGGAGGCAACCCCCGTCTCGTGTATCAAGAGTTATCAAAAATAACGCACAAACTGGTCGCGGTGGTGGCGGTACTTTGCTTCCTGGTCGTCGGGCTGCTGCTGAGCAACATCCACCTACAGATGAGGGTCAGGGAGTTCGAGGAGATGGTAATCAGAATGCGGCCTGAGCTAGTCCTCCATCCACAGGTATGTCTGACAGCTGTTGTCACTTTGTCCATTGCATGTGAATTTTTTTTTTTCTTGCACCATCCATGAATATTTTTACATTGAGAATGACAGCAATGTTCAGCAACAACACGCGTTACCAAAGCCTCGCTACCTTTGGGTGTCTTGTTCTGTTAAATTTGTGAGCTTCCTCTTTACTACCAGTCTCGACAAACTGTGTGTCCAAGAAATAACATAATGTATACATCTACAAAACCACGGAATTTGAAGTTAAACAAATATGTTTAAGGGTATAAATTATTATTTTTTAAAATTGTTTTGCACATTTTTTTGTCTATATCTCATTTAGTTGAAGATGTTGGTATTATATTTTTAGTTTGGTTTTCACCATATATGTCTATTCTAGTAAATAGGTCACTAGGCTTATTATTAAAACACTAGTGCAGACCTCAAAATTTAACTTAAATTCATTTGTGTTTGCTGGATGTTTGTTTCGGTATTTTTTATTTTTTTTTATTTTGGACCGTTTAGAGTTTTTTTGTTTTTTTTACATATTTCTTCCTTCGATCTTCTTCTTCTTCTATATCTTAAGGGCCCACGATCAATTTATTGATCATTTTGGCTCCTATGCATGTAGATGGGATTTGCAATGTTTCTGTTACTGGTGGTGATGAGGAAATTCCCATGATTAATTATTTATGAACTCTATACTCATGAACAACAATTCATATTCCCGGATTCGTTATTCGCAGTGATAGAAGTTCATTTACAGACTTGTTCATTTGCTGCTTCATTCTACATCACAAGCCACCGTCAACAAAAGCTCTTACTTAAACTTTTTTTTTTTTTTTTTTTTTTTTTTTTTTTTACGATTTATTTGTTTTCTGTTAAATTTTTTTTTTTTTTATTTTTTTTTTTTTTTATTTTTTTTTCTTTTTTTTTTTTTTATTTTTTATTTTTTCTTTTTTTTTTTTTTTTTGTGTTTTTTTTTTCATTCAAATCCACCTTTTATTAAAATTTTTTCTTTAAATTTTTTTTTTTTTTTTTTTTTTTATTTTTTAATCACGAATTAGTAGCTTTCCGTGAAATTTTTTTTTATTTTAATTTTTTTTTTTTTAAATGTTTCACGAGTATTTTTTCTTATATTTTAACTTCGCATTTTAACTTCGCAAACAAACATTGGTCATATTTCTTAGACATATATCAATTGTTATCATACAATCCGGCATATGATTCGCATACACACATACATGTTTCCCTTAAATCCTACCAGAAATCTCCAGCAACAGAGGCCGGCCAGGAAGCGACGTTTCCAGCGCGTGGCGGTCAGCACCATGTTAACCCTCCGATGGCTGGCCGGATTACTTTGTGGTCGGGACAAAGCGGGCGTCGGAAGAGAAGTGCGCAAATTTGTCCAACATTTTCTGTTCGCGAGATGGTGAACGAATACTGCAAAGCTAAGAAAGGTATTCGGAGTGATTAGGTTGAATGGACGTACCACACAACGAGCTAGCATATATAATGGTGTCCGTTTTATTTATTGGTAGTGTCTCACTTCAATAATGAGCTCGGTATATGATTAATTAGATGTAAATTATGTTAATACATGACTTATATTCTTCGTTTTTTTCTTTTTAAGCGTTGAAATTTTTGTTTACAAAATGTATGCAGTAGGCCTAAATGGTTATATTGTAAATCTTTATGAAAAAAAAAAAGATATAATTGAATACACCCCCTAATAAAATGACTATCTTTTAATTACATTTCAGAAAAAATAAAATCTTCAGAGGTGAGTTCATGAGCATATTCTTTATTTTTTTCCCCCTATATTTTGAGGACCTCCCCCCCGATCAACTTATTGATCATTCTGGCTCCTGGTTTGAATTCGGAGTGTGCCTTGTCTTTAGATAAGTTGCTGTCAAGGGCTAGCGGGTCCCAGCCACGCGGGGTGCTGAGGAAGGAAGGGGGGGGGGTTGTTTGTCTTGGCTTTGGTGGGAATTGAGCTCCTGACCACCATCTGTTAAGACTGAATCGGTTTGGTCCACCCGGCCACCCGGCACCCCCATTTAAATGAGGACACAGCTTGTCCCTTTTCGGCAGAATAGTTAAGAGTTCAAAACAAAGAAGACTATAACTGTGCGAGCAAGTGTTCGTTTCTTTAAACGTTTTGTTATTACGTTAATTAACTATTGTTTTTAAAGACGTATTTGACTGTAATAGATACAAGTGAATGTTGTCAGTCAACACGCGTTCCGTCTATTCGGTTGTGTTGCCGTAAGACAACTTTGCAAACTGAGATGCATGTGCCGGTACTCTGTCTTCCCAATGTTCTATATCTGTGTAAACATTATAAAGCATTAGTGAATATTTTTTTTTTTGTTAACAGCAGCAAAAAAAAAAAGTTATCTCCAAGTTTAAAAAAAAAAAATCGTAAAAATAAATAATAAAAAACNATTAAATAGGTCAAAACATGTAACGTAAGTTCCTAATAAAGAAAAAATAGGAAAATAATATTAATAATTCAACACTCTGCATTTCTGAGTAGTTCTGGTTTATATGTAACCTTTATTCTTTTTCACTAACTTAAAATGCACATATAAACCAGAACTACTCAGAAATGCAGAGTGTTGAATTATTAATATTATTTTCCTATTTTTTCTTTATTAGGAACTTACGTTACATGTTTTGACCTATTTAATTAATTTTATCGATCTCAAAAATCATTAGGAAAATACTATCTTCTAATTAGATCCGTAGATTTGGACGAGTTAAAAACAGTGATTTTTTTATAGAACAGAAATAAGAGAAAAATTTGCCGATGCTCACATCTTGTTTATTCATAGGCGCCATCCCTAATGGCGTCACTCATGAAAGGAAAAAAAAAACGGCGATGATGTTATTATTTTGTGAGATCTATGGAAAAGGGCGTCTCAATTTTGTGTCGATGGGGGAGGGGAGTTCTGCTGTGGGCTAAATTAGCGTGACGTCAAACTTGAATGACCCTTAAGTTCAAAAAAAAAATAATAATAATTATAGATGCAACAGTCCGCAAAATCAAAAAAAAATTAATAATACATAAATTAAGCTAATTGGAAAATCCATTTTAAAAAAAGAAGCAATCTACGACTAAAAGAGAAAAAAAAGCCCTAAGTAAATATGTTCAAATTATAATATATTTAATCGCGTTCTACTCCTGCAATTAACTGAAAATTGGCGAGTCGTTCTTTTAAATGTCTCATATCTACGTTGCTACTTGATTGTTTAGGGCCCACGCCAGCTGAACATCGCCATGTTCGAGGCTGTCTTTGACACGGCTGCCATGAGCGCGCATCAGAAAAATCCTGGAAGGAAAGGTGAGTACACGAAGAAGCCATTCATCAGTCTAACAGCATATTATGCACTGCTGCACTTGACACTGAGAAAGCATTTACACACTCATCTCCTTACATAGAATTGCCTTTATCTGTTGTTTTTTTCCTATTATCATATTGAATATAACCCTTTGACTGGCAAGATGTCATTCAACACAAGTAAATGTGAAGGTTGTCTCTCAGACAGTGTTTTAAAATAAAAATACAAAAAACATGATTTATACTTAAAAGAAGAGTTCGTGTGGGAACAAAAAAATTGAAGCTCAGCATTTAATAAAAGTATTATTTTTATCATTTTTAAAAAACTATTTAAAGTTCTTCAGAAATGTACACGTTTATTAAAGAAATATATTCGTGGATATAAATTGATTTGGAATTTAGTGTTTTACAAAAATATAACGTTTAAAATTTACCCCAAATCAGGGGCGTAGGTGAATTTTCTTACCGGTGGGGGACCAGCCTTTGCCATCCACTGGGCACTCATCGGCTTTGCGTCATTCATAAAAGTATCTTGACGCAAGCAAGTTTTTTATTTGTGTTTTTTTTTTTTTTGGATGGGGTGGGGAGAATCCAGAGGCCGGAATCCCCCCGTCTGCTACACCCCTGTATTCAATCACCAAAGCGTATAAACTCTTTGACTTCAATCCCACGACAGATCCCAACTGTTTCACCAATGCAAGTACCAACATTACGCTCTGTGCCGGCAACAAAGTCATTTATCACCTAGAAGGTAAATAGAGCTTTGAAACTATGGTTTTTATAAACAAATCCCTACATCATTATATTACATTTTATATTTGTGCCTACTTTAAAAAAAAAAAACGCTTCGCTCGGGAAATATTAAACAACAAGCAGAGGCGCCGCCTATCGGTTACATCTACTCTCATTTCATTTGATCGTAGTGTTTTACGATTTTTGTGTAGTGTGGCTATTCGGGGGGAAAAGGTTGGCCCACCTTGGGCTCGGAATGATTTTTTCAATAATGATACGTTTAAACAACGTTCAGAATTACAGTGAATTAACACTCAACACAACGATGTCACGTAATTAGCAAAGCTGTGTTACGCACCGTGCATTTCGCGCAGGAGAATATTGATTCCTGTTAATATTTTGCCTTCCGTATTGTTCTTTTTGTTGCGAAGGCCTCGTTTCGCGTATCTTCTGTCTTTTTTTAAAACTCCTTCATACACTCTTGTTCGCCAGCTGGAACATTGTTCGGCAATGAGCTCCCATTCGTTGTTTTCAATATTGCCTTCCCTCATGCTTTTTTTTTTTTTTGCAAACGCCCATAAATCTCAGGCGTGGCCGTCCAATGAGTCTTGCCCCTTCTGTCAACTCTCCATTCAGCAGCATCTTTGGGATACGGCCTTTCCTCCATTCTCCTTACATGGCCTAACCAGCGAAGGCGTCTCTTGCTAAGAAAGGAGAATATGCTAAACATGTGTGCACGTTCCAAGACCTCCATGTTAGGCACCTTGTCCTGCCAACGAATGCATAAAATGCGACAAAGACATCTTTGAAGGAAGCTTTTGAGTTTCAGCTCCTGGCTGGTATACGTGGTTTATTTTTGTGCAAAATCTTTATTTTGTAAAATGTGCATAGCTCATATCAACAAAAAAAATAATGATAGTGGATCACCGGCTCTAGATATTTCCCCGTGCCAGCGAAATTCGATTCTTCAAAGCTAAATACACACAGGAACACATCTATCCAAAAATAAAAATAATTCGCAAATCCTTCATAATTACTGACCTCTCACCAATTACATACACATTGCATCCAATTACTGCTTTAAGGATAAGCCAATATCATCAAATGTTCAATAAACTAGCAAAGTAAAATCCCCAATAACTGCACTTTTTTGGATTCCTGAAAATACCGCAGGTGCGTTTGGTGCGTAACTTTGTGTTGTTGTTTTTTCCCCGCAACAGCACCAATTTATAACGGATGTAAACGATCTTCTTATGAGTTTAATATGGAGTATGTAGATAGTGTTGCTATGTATTATAAAGCAATTTTTAAATACGAAATTTAAAGAATTTTTATTATTCCCCCTGACGGGGAACGTTATGAAATTTTAATTTTTAATTTTTTTTTTTAAAGAGATAGATATTCTTTGTGGCTACACTTTAAATTGTAATGTGAAAAAAATATTCTTAATTTATGGTTAACACTGTTCAGTGTAGTCTTTTCTGATTTAGTCAATGCTAAATTGTTTGTGGGTTTTTTTTAATAGTAAACCTGCTTTTTTTTTAGGAATTATTTCAAGGTTATAGTCTTTTTTTTTTAAAAAAAGGAAATGACTTTTCTTTTTGTGCATAGCTGGTTGCAAGTTCTAAATAGTGAGAGCGTTGTTCATCTCTTCTAATAAACAGCTTAGATGTGTCGCTTAGTTCGAGCCTTTAAAACATATTTCTATTTTTTCAAACCCCTTCAGGAACGCGTCTAGGCGTCTACTCAGACAAGGGGCGTGACAACAGCAACATCGCCACGATGAAAGACCGTGTCACGTTCGTCATCAAGACGGCTGGTATCTATTTGGTCAATTTGAACGTGAGTGAAGGTCATTTCAAATAAATAGGTCACGTGCTGTCTTTTTTTTTAATCTTAAAAATGATTTTCTTTGAAGCTGTGCACATAAATATCTGGAACTCTAAATTCTAAAAGCACATGTTCAAACTCCGGCCCGCGGGCTAGATCAGGACAACATCATGTACTCTAAATCACTAAAAATTTAAGACCTCGCATAAAAATTCGACGACTAAAAATTAATTAATGAACAGTAATGTTGGATTTCGTTGACCCAGCTGTTTTACTGTGCTGTCTACAAGACCTTTTACCCAGCTGTTTACAAGACTGTTCACCCAGCTGTTTTTTCACCCTGCTTTTCCCCGACTGTTTATCCAGCTGTTTATACCACTGTTTACCCTACTGTTTACCCTGCTGTTTACCCGACTGTTTATCCAGCTATTTATCTGACTGTCTACCCGACTGTTTACCCTGCTTTTTACCCGACTGTTTGCCCTGCTGTTTACCCTGCTGTTTACCCTGCTTTTTACCCGACTGTTTACCCAGCTGCTTACCCGACTGTTTATCCAGCTGTTTACCCGGCTGTTTACCCAGCTGTCTACCCGACTGTTTACCCAGCTGTTTACCCCGACTGGTTATCCGGCTGTTTACCCCTACTGGTTATCCGGCTGTTTACCCCGACTGGTTATCCGGCTGTTTATCCAGCTATTCATTCGACTGTTTACACCACTGTTTACCCGCAGATCTCCATCATTGACGTCACATTAAAAAATTACCTGGGACTCTTCGTAAACGACAGACTAGCAATGGCGTGTCCAGAAGGCGGGATCAAGTGCTCCACTAATTATGATGCCAGCTTTGACTTTCGAATATGTAATATAAATGGTAGGTAGAAACGCCCCCCTCCCTCAAAAATGGCGTCCATTATTTTCTCTCTTATGCCTTTTACATCTGGGGGGAGGGGTATGGGATAGGCCGTCAAAAAGAATTTTCCATTCATCTCGATTGTGTGCTTTTCTTTCCAGTTGCTTCCATGTGTATCCCTCTATCCCTCGCTTTGTGTGTCTGCCTTTAGCGTGTGTCTCCAGGTATCCCATACTATGTGTGTCTGCATTAAGTTTGTGTCTCCATGTATCACATACTTTGTGAGTCTGCCCTCTCGATTATGTCTCCATTTTTCCATTGCTTTGTGTGTCTACCTCTAGCTTATGTCTCCATGCGTCCCATACTTTGTGTGTCTGCCTCTATCTTGCGTCTCCATTTATCCCATGATTTGTGTGTCTACCTCTAACGTGTGTCTCCATCTACCCCATACTTTGTTTGCCTACCTCTAGCTTAGGTCTCCATGTGTCCCACGTTCTGTGTGCCTGCCTCTAGCTTGTGTCTCCATGTTCCCCATGCTTTGTGTGTCTGCCTCTAGCTTGTGTCTCCATGTTCCCCCATGCTTTGTGTGTCTGCATCTGAATCGCGTATCTCTGTCATCTTTGGCCTTTCTCTTAAACCGGTGGTAATCGTTGTTTTTTTCTTGATAATTGTCATCAAATAGATATGAATAGACTGTGGGAGAGTTGTGTGTGCCTTTTAACGGATGTGCTAGGCTACTTATCACAATTTTTGTAACATATCAATGTATGCCAACTTCAATCAATTCTATAATATTTTTGTTAAAAATAAATAAATGTCTTCAATTTCTGTTGATTTCTCAGGTGTTCTCAAATTGAATGTTAATGACAGCCTTGACGTCAGAACCATGCAAAGTAACACAACCATCAGGATAGCGGCTCTCAGCAATTCTTTTTTTACCATTGTTCTCCTGCAAAAACAATTATAAGATTACAACCATTGTTCAGAATGAATTCTGGAAATACTGTTGAAGAGTGCCGTCATCATTGATTGAGAACCTTTTGTGGTGTGGCTTACAATGTGATGAGTTATTCGATAATGTTTGTTGAAACGACTGAAATTGTAGCATCGTCCATTGGTGAAAATGATATTACATTCTTTTATTTACCAACATTCCATAATGCGGCCGTCATTCCTGCACTACACTGTAACAAAGAATTGTTTTTTCTTTCATGAGTAACTCTTGAACAGGCAATATCTCAAAATCGGTCTTCAGGGCCATTGATAAAAATCTCAGAGACTTATTATAGAGACATACGAAACATAAAAAGGACATTGAAATAATCTTAAAGCCCGTCAGAAAAATCGAACGTTCTAGAATTAGGTAGAAACTTCTAGATAATTAAAGAAGATATATATTTATATGTTACTCATTTTTTACAAACATTGCCTAAATGGGGCTGGTGGAAAATGTGCGTTACAAAAAGTTGCCATCAATTCTATTGTGTTGTGTTATTTTTTTTTTAGCATGCACATAGCATAAAGCTTTATTTAAAATACGTGAAACAAGTGAAAGCGCACCAGAGACATTTATTTGAACAATGATTGAAAGCGCACCAAAGACATCTATTTGAACAATGGTTGAAAGCGCACCAGATACATTTATTTGAACAATGTTTGAAAGCGCACCAGAGACATTTATTTGAACAATGTTTGAAAGCGCACCAGAGACATTTATTTGAACAATGTTTGAAAGCGCACCAGAGACATTTATTTTAACAATGTTTGAAAGCGCACCAGAGACATTTATTTGAACAATGTTTGAAAGCGAAACAGAGACATTTATTTGAACAATGTTTGAAAGCGAAACAGAGACATTTATTTGAACAATGTTTGAAAGCGAAACAGAGACATTTATTTGAACAATGTTTGAAAGCGCACCAGAGACATTTATTTGAACAATGTTTGAAAGCGCACCAGAGACATTTATTTGAACAATGTTTGAAAGCGCACCAGAAACATTTATTTGAACAATGTTTGAAAGCGCACCAGACACATTTATTTGAAGAATGTTTAAAAGCGCACAAGAGACATTTATTTGAACAATGTTTAAAAGCGCACCAGAGACATTTATTTGAACAATGTTTAAAAGTGCACCAGAAACATTTATTTGAGCAATGTTGGAAAGCGCACCAAGAGACATTTATTTGAACAATGTTTGAAAGCGCACCAGAGACATTTATTTGAACGATGGTTGAAAGCGCACCAGAGACATTTTATTTGAACAATGTTTGAAAGCGCACCAGAAACATTTATTTGAACAATGTTTGAAAGCGCACCAGAGACATTTATTTGAACAATGTTTGAAAGCGCACCAGAGACATTTATTTGAACAATGTTTGAAAGCGCACCAGAGACATTTTATTTGAACAATTTCAGAAAGCGCACCAAAGACATGTAATTGAACAATGTCTGAAAGCGTACCAAAGACATGAAATTGAACAATTTCAGAAAGTGCACCAAAGACATGTAATTGAACAATGTCAGAAAGCGCACCAAAGACATGTAATTGAACAATGTCTGAAAGCGCACCAAAGACATGTAATTGAACAATGTCTGAAAGCGCACCAAAGAGACATGAAATTGAACAATGTCTGAAAGCGCACCAAGGACATGTAATTGAAAAATATCTGAAAGCGCACCAAAGACATGTAATTGAACAATGTCTGAAAGCGCACCAAAGAGACATGAAATTGAACAATGTCTGAAAGCGCACCAAGGACATGTAATTGAAAAATATCTGAAAGCGCACCGTTCTGAATAAAGGCTTATTAAAATACGCCCACCATTAAAGAGCTTAACATGAACGTCATTGAAGGCATTTGAAATATATTTACATACAATCCTTATATATTATATACTCTATATTTTGCGATTATTTGATAACAGCGTTTGGAATAAGGGACATATCGTGACCAAACTCTCTAGATCAGGAGGAATGACTATGTCAAATTAGCTTGCGATCCATTGTTTGGTTTACATGTAAGTAATCGACCCATTCAGAGAGTATACGCTAACCTTGATAATATATATATATATATATATATATATATATATATATATATATATATATATATATATATATATATATATATATTTTATATAAAGTATTTGTTTGGTTTATATGTAAGTAATCGACCCATTCAGAGAGTATACGCTAACCTTGATAATATATATATATATATATATATATATATATATATATATATATATATACATACCTATATGTATTAGCTCCAAAGAATTTTTAATTTTTAATTAAATGATGTAATATGTTGTTGTTTTTTGGGTGACAATATGTACGTTTTGCAATTTTAGTAAAATATTTTTTTTTTTCGTAATTCATCTGTGCTACATTGAAATGTACGTCAACACGATAACAGAATGCTTTATAATATGAATGCAAATTTTACATTTAAAAATTTAATATGTGAATATTTTCTGGGGGGAATGTTGTTACAATTTTTTGCTTGTGAAAAAAATACAACAGTATGCTCTGAAAATCGTCTCAGTCTGAACTTTGTTTTCCCCAATCTCTTTACTCTTCTTTTAACCCATGTAGTTCTTTCATTTTTTTCTCCATCATTGTTAGCTCCAGCTTTGATAGTGAGTCTCTATTCTGATGTCAACTTTTTATAATTCATCTAGTAACGATCGTCTGCCAGACTGTAGAAAAGAATTGCAACGCTAAGAACTCTCTCTCTATCTCTCTCCCTCTCTCTCTTTCTCTCTCTCTCATTTTTTTTAATTGTTACCGTCTTCTGGTTCCCAGTATTAGTTCATGACATTAAAATGTCATCGCTATACAATGTTGGTATAATCATGCTACACACTACCAGGTTGCGATCAATTTTGGCCATCATTAAAGAAACCTTGGCGCCTCATTTGAGCCACAGATTTGTGGAGTGTTTATGAGCGCAAGTCCTGTTGGGCATATCTGCAAGAACTTTTTCAGAAATAAAAATAAAAATTTTAAAACCCTTTTCTTGGTATGAGGACAGTTTTAAGTATGAACTTAACATGTTGATTATACAATTTATATATATTATATATAAATTGTATAACTCACATGATATATATATGTTCGTCCAAGGGCGAACACATCAAAGAAATCGCTAGGCCTGTGATTTATTTATGGAGGATAAGCTAGTTCCCTAGAGAGCAAATCACCTTTCTTCCAGGCATCATGATAAACCAAAGGAAAACTATATGTGGATGATACAACTGGGTACAAGTAGCATTGATGGGGTTGAAGGAATTTGTATTGTGTTAATGTCGTACCGCCTACGGAACTCAATCTACGGGTTCGACTCCCAACCCCCCGGGTGCTGGTGATGGCTAGGCTGTCTTTTGCTGGCCATTGAACTCTAGTCCACCAGCTTGGAGTCGGCTTAGTTCAGACCCTACGGTTTATTACATAAAATCGGCCACCGAAAATCTACATCGTTTCAAATCTGTGTTATTGATCCACGGCTGCTATGCATTCTTTAGCCGTCGAGTCCGTTAGACGGGGAAAATAAGCTGTTTGCACGAGATGGAGAACATTGCCATCGGCAGCTTTATTTCAATGAAAGTCATTTACAACTCTAGACTGCTCTAGACTGCTCTAGACTGCTCTAGACTGCTCAAACAAACCACCTAGATGAGATTCTTGTTAAATATACACACGTGGGAGGGTAAAGTGGGGATTGACCTTATTTTCTAGACCTCCTGGTGCACATGTCTTCGGATGGTATAAATGGCCATCCGTTGGATAGCCGTAAGTATACTTAGTTAGTTACTGTGAAACATGTTTCACTTACAATACAATCAGTTACCTTTGGCTTGGAATGGACCACGCGTAGATTTGCTTATCTTAGTTTCCTGGTAAGGCTGAGCTAGCTCAATGGATTCATTCTGTTTAACCATGTTCATCGAATGGGTCAAAGCCGTCCGCCATTCTCACACTCATTTGACCGTCAAAGACAAACAAGGTGTCAGGATATTTATAAATGCAAGTTTTCATTGTGGAAACATGACGTATTAATGTGTGTGATTTAATTCATACGTTTATTTTCAAGTAAAAAAAAAAAAAGGTGCAACTTTAATTTTACTTTTCCATTAAAATTGTTTTTGACAAATAATGATGGTGGATCATCTAAATACTATAAAGGAGAAATGACAAGGGGAAATTGCATTGTTTATATATATATATATATATATATATATATATATATATATATATATATATATATATATATATAAGTGATAGCCATAAAATATATTATATATATATATATATATATATATATATATATATATATATATATATATATATAACTATACGTGATAGCCGTAAAATTTAAGTAAACTATACTTAATATTCTTAACTAAGCATGTTTCGAGAAACCCTCAGTGTTCGGGGTAGGTAAACGCCATGCGCCTCTCTTTATTTCTGCCACTGCCCATTGACTTCTTTTCGCACCACACTGCTGTTGCCAGGCAGTCTATCAGGGCGGCCAGTCATGACATTTTTGCCAGGTATGTACATTTATAACACAAATATGGTTCAAATATCCACTGGTCATCTTAGCCCGTTAAACAATGACTTAGTTTTAGTTTTATTATTATTAAGTAACATTTAAGAAATGAATTTTTCGAATCCCATGATTGTATTATAAGAAACAGTATTGCTACTTTTCAGTTATGCTCCTATGCAATGGCGTAACAAGAAGGGGCGGAAGGAGGGGGGCGGTCAACCCTGGTCGGAAAGGAGTGGAGTTTTTGGTTCACTTCTTGTACTTCCTATTGCGAAGACTCCATGCGCCTTCTGTAGGTTTTATGGTATTCGTGGGCGGAAAGATCGAGAAGCGCCCCGATTTCACAAACCGTAGCAACGCCACTGTCCCTGTCAATACATGGTTCGCCATTCGCAAACAACCAGTTAATGATTCCAACAACGCTTGAGAACATTTGGCAGAGAGAGAGAGAGAGCATGCAGACCATTTAGTGTAAGGCGAATCGGTTGGGGTGCTCCGAAGTTCAGTTGAAGTGACGTCACTAAGTGAAGTAGTGACGTCAGAGCGCTTAACCCCCCCCCCTAAGAAAGGGGGTAGTACAAAACGAGGATTCATCCGGGATCCCCCCCCCCCCCCAAACACCTGCTGCATGTCCTAATAGTTGGTCCAGATTCGAGTTCAAGAACGGGTGACTTTCTTTTCTTTTGTTTTTTTTTCTTCTTTACGATTTCGATAACCGAAAGAGCGGGATGTGTTAGTTTCTGTTTCAATTTCGCCTAACCAGGCCAGCGCGGAAGCCGTTAAGTCATGCGTACAACCGTTGTGTTGCTGTGTGCCAATGGGTGTTGGGTTTTTTGTATGTGTTGTTGTTTTTTTCCCTGGTCGAGTATGTACAGTTACGTGTCTATGTCGAGTTCAAAATAAATTGTTAGGGAAATACAGTGTTCTTTTCTAGTGAGTACAGCTAAACTTCAATTGTTTTTTTGTTTTTTTGTTTTTTTTAAAAAGATGTTATGGTGACAATGATTTTATGAAATGTGTTTATCATTACCCAATGTATTGTGTTATTGAGCAGTCAAGTATGTTGGCGTTTGACAGTGGAAAAAAAAATTGATCTAAGATGAACACGCAATAATTAGCTTTATCTGATCGACCTACATTGCAAGATCGAGCGATAATGTTTTGTTCTTTTCAAAGAGAGCGAACATTTGAGAGGATGAAATGGTTTGATATTATTTTGAAAAGCAGATACCGTTCCAGGGGTGAGTTTGGGCACACATTACTAAAAGACGCTTCAGTTGTGAAAAACGTAAGGTTTTGAATTAAAGTTGTTTAATGATTCCGATATCTGCCTTCCATTGATACATCCTGCCACTCAGCGAAATGCTCCATAATCTTACCATTTGTTTTAGTAGTATATTTTGATTGTAAATATATTTTTTTTCTTTGTATTCTCAGCTGACACGATCAAATTCCTTTCAAATTTGCTGCAAATTTGTGTCAAATTTTTGTTATGACCGCACTATTTTGTGCATGGTTTCTTTTTTTTCTTTTTTATATACAAAAAAAAAAAAGAGAATATGATCAAATAGTAATTTGAAAGTTGTGACAAGGCTTCATACAATAATTGCATCAAATGTATGAACGAAAATGTGACGCGATTTGGTCGTGTGAATTGAACCTTTAGGCCTAAACTCATCTTAGGACAAGAGGGTAAATAAAATTTAAAAATTAATAACCCTTACTAAAGCATTTCTCTCGATGCGTATATTTTATTTTATTAAAGATATACAGACAATGTCTTGAACTCTAGGGACCTTTTATAAATAACAATATTTATTGAGAATATTTTAATTCAGATTTTTTTTTAGAACTTATGAGTTTTTTGTTTCAGAACAAACAGCAGCTTCCCGTCCAATGTAAATGGCAGATTTGCTCCAGGACTTAACACACTTCGATAGCCCCCCCCCCCCTCTTTACCATGGCTATTCATTCATTTACTAACTGAAGGTCTTACTCGTGTAATCCCTGTGTAATTAATGTAATCATCAACCCGTTAACCACCCAGCGCTTGATGCAGTAGGGACTATGTTGCTCTAGGTGACAATTTTTACAGCTGTCGAGTGTGTCATTGTATATTGTGGATGTACAAGAGAGATAAGAGCTTTCGATGGTTTTAAGTTAAAACGCTCGAATCCGGAATTGTTATTTCTTAAGCAAGATTTCTCAGAAGTTAAGAAGGAAAAAAAATGAAACTCTCGAAGAAAGGATCCGAAGATACCTCACAAATAAGCATTCATAAGGGCGGTGGAGTGAAACAAAGTATGGAGAAATCAGATGTTTGTCTTCAGTTGATTCCATGTTCTTATACGACAAGCAAGGATCATTCTGAGGCTGAACTTTGTTCCCCGAATAAGGTGTTGTCCATAACAACCCAAAAACTGGTTGCAGTTATAGTGGGTGTCGGGCTGGTCCTGAGCAATGTCCACTTACAGATGAGGGTCAGTGATTTGGAGGATATGGTCGCCAGATTGAAGGCTGGGCATAGTATTTGTCATGAACAGGTTAGTCTGAAAACGTTTCTTTTTGTTTATGCACTATTGGGGGTGGGTGGAAGGTGAGGGGGGCTATGGCTACAAAAGTTCACCGACCTCCCACTACCCCCACCGCTATTGAGCATAATTTTCAAAAATGGATGTCGAAATTGGACATTAACATCCGGTCGAGGTCTGATTATTCTGAGACAATACCTGGCGCGTTCCAGTCTAAGTACGTGCCCCACCCCCCACCCCCCAATGTATCTTCTCCTTTTTAAATTATAAATTACCCTCAATCAATGGGGTGAATTCATTTAAATTTTGCGTGGAAGTGACCTCATCTCCCCCCCCCCCCCATTTTTTGGGGCGCTATCAATAAAATTTAAAAAAACAAAACAAATAGAATCAAACTTAAGAGAGCTCTTGCTTCTGACTATCTCATCCAATGAACCAGTATTTCCTTCATAAGAACAACAATCGGTTTGTTAAAAAAACATTTCACAAAAGAACTTCTCATCCCGTTCTAGAAATCTCAAACAGCAGAACAAGACCACAGAGCCACGGCCGGACCACATCTGAGCCAGGGCGACCGTGACGTTCTGGCACCTGACGAGACAGCTTCCGGGCATGGGCGAGTCAGTCGCCGAAAGAGGTCAGCGACGAAATGCGACGGACTTGGTATGCGTGACCTGTTACAAGACTATTGCAAATTTGGGGCGGGCCCAGCGAAATTGAAGGCGGTGAGTTAATCAGCTTAATAAGCCCTAAAGCTTTGCACATTTCGTGGAGGGTTCAGTTTGAACAAAACATACAATTTTTTTTTTATTCTTAATATATACACTTTACGTACATAAATGCACATTTACATACAATGGAATAATTTTCATACAAGGATAAATATGTGTACGTTTTTCACACAACCACCCCCCTTTCTTTTTTTTTTTCCACTTTCATATTTCTGTTATTTTCAAGTGACACCTAACACTTTGTGAGGCGATCTCCGAGGTGTCATGACCGACAATTTTGAGAAACACTGCCCGAACCCATAAACTTTACAAAAATACATCATGATTTTTTTTAATATATACAAATTTAACATCATAAAAACAATACGTCCTGACTTATCATGCATGATGAGATCACATAAATACATACATTTCTTAGATTGCTTGCATATATACTCAAATCATAGCGTAGCCGTCAAGCACCGGAGTTGCAGATTACAAATCAGAATCTGCTCATAGATGAATGCGGTGTTTTTGACATGGCGCCAACGCTTTGTATCTGATGTATGTTAAGAAAAAATGTCAACAATCAATAGAGAAATATTATTGAATATTATTCTGAGTCAAGTTGGCTTTCGTGGAATTTATCAACAAAACTTCAGTGCATCGAAAAGGCTGTAACTTCTTGGTAAACCATTCGTCTTAATACTAAATATTTCTTCTAATGGAGATTGGAATTTAATTGATTATAGATATGTGACTCACTATCACCATTATTTAAATTAGCGGTTCTCAACCTTTGGCTCATGACCCTTTTGGGAGTCGAACGACCCTTACACAGGGGTCGACCAAGACCATCGGAAAACACATATTTATGAAGTTGAAACAAAAAGAATTTTATGGTTGGGGGGTCACCACAACATATGGAACTGTATTAAAAGGTCGCGGCATTAGGTAGTTTGAGAACCGATGATTTATATCATTAAAAAAGTATAATTGTTAATAATTTAATTAATTTCAATAAAGGGATCATTGGATGTTGCCCAGTTTGAAGCTGTCTTTGACGAGGATACTTTCAAAAGACTTAAGGGAAGTAAGTCTCTTGCACCTGAAGGGGGCCTCGGATATCTTAGGGGGCCACGAATATCTCAGTAGCTCTCAGATGTCTAAGGGGGCCTCGGATATCTAAGGGGGCCTCGGATATCTAAGGGGGCCTCGGATATCTAAGGGGGCCTCGGATATCTTAGGGGCCACGAATATCTCAGTAGCCCTCAGATGTCTAAGGGGGCCTCGGATATCTAAGGGGGCCTCGGATATCTAAGGGGGCCTCGGATATCTAAGGGGGCCTCGGATATCTAAGGGGCCCTCGGATATCTAAGGGGCCCTCGGATATCTAAGGGGCCCTCGGATATCTAAAGGGCCCAAAGTTTAGATGCGGAAAAAAAATTATTGAATTGCAAATTATAGCTAGATAACAAAAAATGGAAGAGGTATTCCCCCCCCCCTTCCTCCTGCCCCCCCCCCCAAAAAAAAAAGAAAGGTCACCCAACGGCTCTGTAAATTTGGTTTAACATTTTCTGGATTGGAATGTGTCATACTGTGTTCTTATAAAAGATTTCAATGGCATTTCTTACAATGACTTTTATATGTGGGTCTACAGTCTTCTTTGTGATAAATACATATTTTAGATTATAATATTATTACAGGTAACATGTATGAAAACAAAAAAGTAAAATATATTTTCTAATTTACAATTGTTTTTGAAACATATAAAATATGGACCAATTTTTAAAAAAAAAAAACATTAATTTCTAGGAATCTGAATTGATAACTTTTTTTTTCTAAGAGATTTTTAAGACCAGGTTCTAAATTCAAATAAATAAAATGTCTCCACCGTTTTAGCGTCATGTATTCATGTATAGTTTTCTACATATTTGGTTTAAATATTTTTTATTTATCATCTGTACTAAACACATCCCAGATATATACCTTTTCATACATTACACAACTATAATCAGCAGATGTTAAATAATCTAATTGCATCATAAACCACTATATAAGAGTACAAGCGTGCAATTAATCTGAGTAAATGACGGATTGTATTAATCTCCTTTTGACACTGACTTTTCTCTTCCACAGAAGAGAAATGCGTCCACATTCCTTCCGATAAAGTGTTATGCGCTGGTGGCAAGGTGACATATATCAATAAAGGTGATCAGCGCCAGTAATAATTTATTAAAGAAAAAATTCCGGATTTAATTAAGTGAATACATGCATACAGTGATAGTTAGTTTTTAAAGTTTCTAAATATTCTATTCTTGATTGAATGCTCGTTTCCATTTTAAATATTGTTCTTATTTTCATTTCCTGGTTTATCTATATAATTGATTTTTATTTTTCCTTTCAATATATTTTTTTGTAAATGCTTGAAGTTCAAGAATATCCATTGGCTTATACTTTGTCTTGACACACGCACACAATTTCTTAAGCTCGCATTGTTCTCGGAAATTAGCGAATCAAAGTATCGGAAAACTTTTTTATAGACTCAACAAAACAACGAACGCGTCGGCAAGAAGCCTTCGTCAGCGAACAAACAAATGTAAAAACAATATTTAAAAAAACTGAACACTTATCTGCAATGTAGTATCCGACAGAACAGCGAGGGGAATGTGGGTTGCTCTGGCTGTCCTCTCGGATACTAAATTGCACTGTTTGTTCCCTCGATGGAGGCTTCGTAGAATGTGTTCTTATTTCTAATCTTTAAAGCTTATTTACTGGTAAATACTTTGCTTTTCTGAGTGGTATAGATTTCTTAATTTTAGACACTGGCTCAATTAAAACTGAGTGTATATTTCTACCCCTTTAAAGCTTGTTCACTGTAATTTTTCGATTATCTAAAAGTATCGCGTCTAGACGTCTATTCAGACAAAGAACTTGACAACAGCAAAATTGCCAAGATGAAAGAGGGACATACTTTTGTCATCCAGACAGCTGGTGTCTACTTGATCAGTTTGAACGTGAGAGCTTTTTTTTTTAAAGCAATCTTTGTTAAAAAAATTGAATTCTCTTTTTTTTTTTCTTTTTTTTTTTTTTGTTAATATTTGAAATGCAGGATGCGACAAAAGTGACTACAAAAAAAGTGAGAAAATTATTACATTTTTTTCATTGGAAATTTTATTTTTTTTTTTTTTTTTATTATTTTTTTTTAAAAAAATTGAATTTTCTTTTTTTTTTTTCTTTTTTTTTTTTGTGTTAATATTTGAAATGCAGGATGCGACAAAAGTGACTACACAAAAAGTGAGAAAATTATTACATTGTTTTCATTGGAATATTTATTTTCGCGAAAGAAACTAAAATACAATTTATCATCGTGAGGGTTTAAAAAAACAAACATTTATTTGATATTGTTATTTAACGCTGTTATAAATATTCCCGTGAGCAGATTCCAACCTACAGCCATGATTGGCCAACTTGTAGGCCTTAAAAAACGATGCATTAGAATATACTTGGATTCACCGACAAACATAAACAGAGATCCAATACAAACAATAATAAAAACCAACATGATTGTGTAGTCATGCGTGGAGTATTTGGGTATATATAGATATTTTTTAAATTTATTTCTTATATTATCTGCTCTTTTTCGAAACGATTAAATCCAAGACCAGCCAAATGTCAAAATTGTAAAAGTGTCATCTAAGATGTGATGAGCTAAGTGTAGACCATTGTTTCTTTCCACTGGCTTGCGAACAACATATGTTCTTTTTTAAATCTTGTTTGTTGTGTCATTTTAGGTGTATTGAAAAAAAAAACCAATTCATTCTGTGTGTATTTGTACCGCCAGATATCCATATATGACAACACTTCAACAAAGTACCTAGCAATCTTCCTGAACAATATGATGGTAATGGCGTGTCCAGAAGGCGGGAGCAAGTGCTTCACAAGCCTCAGAGGATTATGTCACGTTCATATAAGGATTTGTTATATAAATGGTAATTAGCTACAGATTTTGCCCCCCTCCCCCTAAATAGCATTGATATTTGCTAAGGAACTATCGTGTTCATTTCTTGGCAGCCTTTCCCATAAATTTCGTCGAATAATTTGGTAAAACAGGGCAAGAAGATTGAATAATTAGAAGAAAGAAAAGTTATCGCAGTATTTTTATGCAAAAAGTATTTTTTAAAGACTTAATTTCTTTTTTTAAATCTGTTAGTAATGACTTTTAACATCAACGAAGGCAAGAATAGTGATTTATTACTATAAAGTATTTCAATTATTTCTTAGGAAACGTTTCAAATATCGGCGATATCACAGGTAATTTCAATTTGTGTTTTACTCAGGTGTACTCAAGCTGCATGCCAACGACACCCTTGATGTGAGAACCATGATAGACGACACAACAATCCGGATAGAACCTCACAACACGTCTTATCTGTCTTTCGTGCTATTGCAAAAACAATAATTTCACAAATTTACTTTGGGGTATTCTGTGAATTATCAAGTGAACTTCTTTGTTTGGAGTGCCTCAAATAAGTTATTCATTTTACTTCACTGAAAGCCACTATTAGTATTTCTCTATTCGGTATTATTTTTATTATTATATTGAGTTTTGGGCTGGGGTGGGGGGGGGGCTATACTCTAATCGAGAATATGTAGTCGCAACCGTATAATCAACGTAAGGTTTTGCAAATTGAACCAAAAATAATGATCCGAATGGAATGCTTATATCTAAATAAATTGAGAATTTTTAGTTTGATTCAAAGAGGTTTTCCCGTCAGGTTGTACAGAAAACTTTAGTGGTCCAACGCAATAATCTATATGTATTTCACCACAACCACCCAGGCTATAAACCCAGTGACGGATTAAAGAAACTGCGACAAAGAGGTGGCCAAAGTGCTGAACGGGTTCTCCGCTCCCAGGTCGTCAGTTGGTGGATCAAACTCGTCGAGAGAATTGAGCCAGGTCACATTTCTAATGGGCTGGCAGGAAAGGGGCAAGTCAAATTTAAGAAGCCCGCATCTGAGCCTCAAAGACGTTTAAGCCAGTGTAAGTGTTACATTTTTTGGTGTAACACGCGATTGCTTATGTTAATATCAGCACCTGTTGAAACGACTTACAAATTCTTGGGGAAAATTTGATGAGAGAGGAAAATACCTTTTTTCTTTCTTCTCATGAGCTTTAGAAATATATCCCTGTTGAGAACATTAGCTATTTATCTGACAACCCAATGTGATTGACTGTGTCATGTCAGTGGAGTATCTCATACTTAATATAAAATGTATAATAATATGGTGAGACTTCTTCTTGTTTTTTACAAATTTTATTTCAACTCAAAACTGCCAATGATCAATTTGCAAAATTATCATCTTCAATAAATTAAATGTTACGTTGATGATGTGCGTTATCATTCGTTGTTACAATAAACAGTTGACGTATTCTTTTCACCGTGTTATTATTGTTGTCTGTCCGTCCGTGAACGATATAAAAAAGTTAATTGTGAAATAGGAAACTCACACAGTAACGAAGTACATAACTCTGAATATGTTGGTACATAACTCTGACTATGTTGGTACATAACTCTTACTAGGTCTTTACATAAATCTGACCATATTGGCACATACCTCTTACCATGTTGGTACATAACTCTGACTATGTTGGTACATAACTCTTACTAGGTCTTTACATAAATCTGACCATGTTGGCACATACCTCTTACCATGTTGGTACATAACTCTGACTATGTTGGTACATAACTCTTACTAGGTCTTTACATAAATCTGACCATGTTGGCACATACCTCTTACCATGTTGGTACATAACTCTGACTATGTTGGTACATAACTCTTACTAGGTCTTTACATAAATCTGACCATGTTGGCACATACCTCTTACCATGTTGGTACATAACTCTGACTATGTTGGTACATAACTCTTACTAGGTCTTTACATAAATCTGACCATGTTGGCACATACCTCTTACCATGTTGGTACATAACTCTGACTATGTTGGTACATAACTCTTACTAGGTCTTTACATAAATCTGACCATGTTGGCACATACCTCTTACCATGTTGGTACATAACTCTGAATATGTTGGTACATAACTCTTACTAGGTCTTTACATAAATCTGACCATGTTGGCACATACCTCTTACCATGTTTGTACATAACTCTGAATATGTTTGTACATAACTCTCACTATGTTGGTACATAACTCTCACAATGTTGGTACATGACTCTCACTATGTTGGTACATAACTCTCACTATGTTGGTACATAACTCTCACTATGTTGGTACATAACTCTCACTATGTTGGTACATAACTCTGACTGTGTTGGTACATAACTCTCACTATGTTGGTACATAACTCTGAATGTGTTGGTACATAACTCTCACTATGTTGGTACATAACTCTCACTATGTTGGTACATAACTCTTAATATGTTGGTACATAACTCTCACTATGTTGGTACATAACTCTGAATGTGTTGGTACATAACTCTCACTATGTTGGTACATAACTCTCACTATGTTGGTACATAACTCTCACTATGTTGGTACATAACTCTCACTATGTTGGTACATAACTCTGAATATGTTGGTACATAACTCTCACTATGTTGGTACATAACTCTCACTATGTTGGTACATAACTCTGAATATGTTGGTACATAACTCTGAATATGTTGTTACATAGCCCTTACTATTTTGGTACATACTATGTCATTACATAACTCTTACTCTGTTCATACATAACTCTTACTCTCTTTATCCATAAATATTATTACGTTGGTACACAACTGTTATTATGTTGATTTTTGATGGACAGAGAATGTCTATAGAATATGAGAAATACGCTGTATTTAATCACGGATAGACCGAAACTGGTCTCTTTCAAGTGAGCCAGCCGTGAATAAATGTTTGTTTCCCCTCATGGGTTTAGTCATTGTAGATTTTATGAAAAATGTTGGAAAATCAATTCAAATTAAATATATTATGATCAACGGCGTATGTGAAATTTAAGTTACCTCGGGGAGTCCTTAAGTAGCCATTCCATCACAAAAAGAGGTCAAATACATATCAAACAAACTTTATTTACCGGGGTTCCGGATTGGGTGGGGGAGGGGGGGACCACAGAGATTTTAGATCTGTGGTATATAACTATCGTCATTTACGGTGATATTCTGCAGAGGTGAGACTGCTACCTAGGTGGCCCATCTCTTACCTTTTTTCGGGTTGGATCGCCCCTGACGTACTACTTACTATGCCAGTGATCACTAGCACAAAACGTATGATTGAAGGAAACGCCATCTTGATTGAAGTCACTACAGAAGCTCTTGTCCTGTATATTATGTCTTCTATCATTTTGTTCCTTAGCTCGTCTCTTAGTTAAATGATTATAAATAATGAAGTCTGTGGTTAGGGGTGAGGGGCCGGGTATTATTCAAACCTAATGTGGCCCTTTATTTGTTATTAAATATAGACACAGGAGTTAACTTTTAAACTTTGAACTTTTAATAATTTATTTTTTTAATTGGAGGATTTCCTGGTGTGTCATACGGTAAATGATTTCCTGGTGTGTCGTACAGTAAATGGTTTCCGGATGTATCGTACAGTAACTGGTGTCCTGTTGTGACATACAGTACATCCTTTACAATGAGCAGTCCATGTGAACTCACATCGGTCTGGAGATTTTTTCAGGACTAAATTAGAAGAGAACCAAACGGCGATCTCGCAACACTGAGCCGCTGAAGAGTTCATAAGAGTGATACTAAATATGTCAGGATGCCTCACTGTCATTATGTGGGACGCTTGAGTCTATCTCATCAACAAAAGGAAGGGAATCCCCCACACCTCATTATTAAGCATTATGTTTAAATTGGGTGCTAGTCACAATTATTGTTTGTTTTTTTTAGATATTTAGTCCTCTAAAGTCTAAAGAACCACTGCAGCGGGTAAATTTTCAAAACACCGGGACTCGAGTGCTGCAGGAACGCACGGGAACGAATTTGATACACATTTATTTTTATTTTTTTTGTCTAGAAAAAATACCTTCAAATTTATTTTGGGATGAAGGAAAGTGAGAATCTTGGGATAGTTTCCCGACCTTTTTTTCCCCCAAAACTTGACCCCTGTTCATTAAAATACATCTATTTCAATTGTAAACCAATTCAAAAAGTAAATTCAAATTTGAATTCTTCTTTTCAAAACAATGACACAGTCAACAGTTGTGTACAAGACTTTTTTAATTTATTAAGTTTATACAAACATTTATTTTATCTTTTAATTTAAAATAAAAGACTGGGGGAAAAATATATAAGATTATAAGTAAAAAATGTCATTGATTAAGCTCATCAATTATTCCATCTCTTTGTTAACCTTGGGCGCCCGCAGGTAGGGGTAAGGTGGGGCACTTGTCCCCCCTTCCTGGATTGAATGGATAAACAAATTGTTGACAAAAATAGGCAAAACATGTATTAAAGTAAAGAGAAAATAAAGAGAAAGTAACTAAGCTGATGTCCGGTCGTTCGTTCACCATACAAATACGCTGCAGTAAATTAAAACTACATTAAAACATTACTAAACAATTTTTGCACACCAAAACTACCAGAAAACATTACTAAACATTTTTTGCCCCCCCCCCTTTTGGAAAGTTAATCGATTTTTTTTAACCCCCCCCCCCCCGCCCCTAGAAAGTTTTCTGCGGGCGCCCATGTTGTTAACCGATATTTATTGACAACTAAAGTCACATTGAGCCGACATTTTTCTTCGGTCGGATCTGTTGGTTAAGAGACCGTCTCAAGTCCATCTCCCGACGTATGAACAGGGCTTGGGTTTTCCGAACGGCGTGTAAGTTTCGCTCTCAAAAATAAGAGCTGTTGAAACGAAAAAAAAAAAGGCTACGTTCTAAGAAAGCACTTTCAGTATTGAATCCGTGCACTAGATCTGCGGCCGACTTGTTGGACTGGAGTAGTTGTCACGACGTCAGCGTGCAGGGTCCCTGTGTGTGTGTCAGTGGCTTGTTGGTTGATGAGATGCGGTGGTGTACACGAGGAAGTATTGTGAGAAATTGTGCAAATGTCTTAAATACAGCCGGGCTCGACGTTTGATGGTCTTCTTTACGATTAAACACTTTTTTGACACGTGAGTTTATCCTTTAGCGTTATGCGATGTATTGCTTGTTATTTAACACTCAAAGATTTACGTTATAACATTAATATTTATTTTTTTATTTATTTTTAAATATTACGTTGTCAACAGACTCAAGGCAGACGATGTAAGAATACAGATAACGGATAGGGTGTACGTTGAGTTTGACAACAAGCAAGTGTTTTTTTTTCCAAACCAACATTAATCGTCTCAGCTTTACAATAAGGAATCTTCATTATTATTACTGGGAGCATCCATTTTTTGCTTCTATTATGATATACGTATAGACTAGAAATGGACTGCATGCATGAGTAACTTATGGACTAGTAAATAGACTACATACATGTGTAACATATAGACTAGCAATATAGTCTGACAATAGACTACATACATGTGAAACATGAGACATGTTTTGAGGACTTTAAACAGGTCAAAAGATTCCAAAAAGGGTTTCGGTTTTTTTTTGTATTTAGGTAATGTATTTATTTTAATTTATGACGGCACTATTATGTGACCCATCCCCCCCACCCCATTTATGGTACGGAATGCAACCTTTGGTCTGATGTCCAAGAAATGATTCCTGAGTGCTTCAGAAACAGGTCGGCGTGTGCATCGTTAAGAAATGTAATGTAAGAAAGCACGGTGCAAGGTAGACAAGGAGGAAACTAATGTTGGTTTTTTTTGTTTTTTGAAATTAATTTCTTTACAATAAACTGGGTTATCCATTGTAGAGACACTATACACCAACCCAACAAACAATAGCGGTGTCAATGATTGAACTTCCCATCTACTCGTCCATTGACGAGACACGCATTTATATCAAAGCACTTTATAAAGCCCAATGAGTGCTAAATTCTGAGAATTGTATATTGCGCGCACTATGTCACGTAGAATTAAAGCCCTACATAAATTACCTAGTGAATTATTTATTTATTTTTGGTGATTTATTTGTTCTTTAAATTCCTAAAATATTCTATTATATATTTTAAAATGTCATACATAGTTTCAGGAGGGTGTGTTCTTAATGAGACGTGCTAACAACCAGGATAGAATATCGAGTTACTGCTTCGACAGTTAACAAAATACCGCCAGCTGATATGGAGGTTTACAAAATCTCATTCCGTTAGGGTCATTTCAACACCAATGGCCAGGCAAGCAGGTGTTGAGGAGCTCAACTCTCAGCACATTCGACGGTGACCAAAAATCCCACGGAACCGAACTAAAGACACACGGATACACAAGTTCACAAAACAAAAAACAATTTCTTCTGATAACACGATGCAGACTTCACTACCGGACCACGGGCAACCGACCTCTAGCTGCGACGGCGACTCCAAATACGTACAGCCGTTTCCCCAAAATCGATACTCTCAAGCCAACTCTTCCCGTGGTCCTAGTTGTCCGCTGGCACGTGAAAGGGCGAGCCAAGACAGTTCAATGAAGGTCTCCGTATGCGGATGTCTACAATGCAGTATCGGTCATTTTAAAAATCATCAACAACCTTCGTTGGTTCCTAGCTATGACTATCGAAGGTGTATTGATCACTCTCCAACCCTTCGGCCATCCGTAGGGAACATAAACTTACGAGAAAAAATTGACAGTAAGGTCGAATCTCCAGCAGACTTTGGCCTAGTTCTTCCCGGTGGTCAAAATCCTCGAAGGAGCAAGTATGGAGCCAAGAGTATATTGGACGTTGCATGTGAGACACGGTTTGGTGTTATTGTTGTGTTGTTTCTTATGGCCGTCGGCTTTGTGCATCTTCGGATGAGAATAAGGGCGCTGGAGGAGCAAAATATTGAACAGTTCAAGACTTTGGTAAACAAGATTGAGGAGAAGAACATTGAGCTCGCACACATCAAGTCGCAGGTGAACGTTCTGGAGCAGCTGGTCAGCGGGATGAATGGGGAAAATATTCAACACAGACTACAGGTAATTATAGTTCTGAATATTGAACAAAGAAATCATGTACTCGAAACGAAACTTTGTAAACATGTGTTAAACTGGGTAGTTTCCAATTAGCGTGTGAGGCTGCAAAATATCAGATCATTTTATAAAGCATTTTAGGTTGAAGGTTTTAGGGTTTTATAACAAATAAAAAAAAATATTTTCTAACTTACCGTTCTCCCACGCAACTCCAGGCCCCCTGCCCAACTTAACAACTCGCTCCTACCCCTTCCCCACTCCTTTCCCCAACGCCTTTTCCCCCACACTCTTTCCCCACACCATTCCCCTACTCCTTCCCCCAGTCCTTTCCCCACTCCCTTCCGCAAATCCCTTCCCTCACACCCTCCCCCACTCCCTCCCCCAATATTCCTAGCCCTCGCCCAGCTTACGCCTGAACCAATGCACTCATCTAAAAGTCTTGAAAGTTAAGTTTATCAGCAACCATCATCCTGCACCCCAGTCACCTCAAGCCCGTAAGCCTAACAATGAACACGCCAACACAAGGCGCAACCAACAGTATGTGTAACGGTTGTGCATGTAGCATATCCATATTTTCGCTTCTGGTTGATGTGGCCCCTTGGCGTCAGGTGTCCTTTCTGTCTATTTCTACCAGTCTATGCAGGAACAGAATGCGACCATACTTTCTGACTCGTATTAATACTTACCCTTTGGGGGGGGGGGGAGACCTTCCGCTCTAGGGACTGACTAGCTCTGTTGTTGGTATCTTTCTTATGTGAGTGTATCTCGATTCTCTTACGGCAAAATATTATTTCGCAGGTCTTTTCAAATAAAATAAAATCGGTAGAACGCCCGTGTCTCGAAACAAACAGGCCGTTTTGTCTTAAATAGTGTTGTTAATTTCAATCTTATTTACAAAAATTTACAAGAATATCATGAAGCTAAAATCGATTTTAGGTCTATGAAATTTGATGTTTGTTTAGGGTATGGAAGAAAAAGTCTCTGGTGAAACTTAACGAATCACTCAAAATCTTCTCCCTTCCAGGCCATTTTTTTCCCTCCATTCTTTCTCTTCGTACTGTTTTGCATGGTCTCTAAAAGTTTGTTTTTTTATGGGCTCAAATCTAAAAGTCTCTTTGCGTGAATCCTCTTCAGAAAACGCTGGAAACAATGACGGCTGCACCGATGTCTACTGTGAAATTTCCTAAAGAACCACATCGTTTCCCCGTCTTCACTGGAACCACCAACCAGCCAGCATCACGGGGAGGAGGCCTGTCCAGAGCCAAAAGAGACGCTGACGGACAGCGGAGTGCCTCCATTAATGGTGTCATGAAGTCGGTCCTCCTCGGCTACTGCAAAACGAAATCAGGTGAGACATCGATCAGCAGGCCCATTACCTTTGGTAGAAAGTTTGGCCGATGGACTGACATGGTGTGATACACGAATAAGGTTTGTGCCAGTTGTGTGCCAGCTGTGCTCCATTCATGTGCCAGTTGTGTGCTAGCTGTGTGCCAACTGTGTTCCAGTTGTGTGCCAGTTGTGTGCCAGCTGTGTGCCAACTGTGTTCCAGTTACTTGCCAGCTGTGTGCCAGTTGTTTTCAAGCTGTGTGCCAGTTGTTTGCCAGTTGTTTGCCAGCTGTGTACCAGCTGCGTGTCAGTTGCGTGGCAATTTTGATGTGTTTTTTTTTTTGGTGCCCGAAATAATTATGAAAAAGGTATTGAATTTCAAAACTTGTAAATGATAATTAATTACTTATCATTATTTAAAAATAATACCGAATGTTGACAACATTCATTTGGACATCTTCCTCGAGACAACCTTAACCGTCATTTGTGTTTTCTGGCTTAATTTTACTGAAAAATTAACTTTTTTGTTTGTCTCTCTACCCTTACATTTCAACTGAACTCCATTTATGACGTCACATTTCAAATTAAAGGAACTTGCAATCAGGTAAAGCCATCTTCTGACTGATTCATTTATAATTTGTTTTTAATGCCTCAAGTGATGAAAATAATATTTTATAACAATCGTTTTGCTCCCTAATTTTTGTTTTTAACTAGAAGTTCACTAGATCACCACCGACTGCACTTAGCCCTTACCGTTTGCAACTTTTCACCCTAAACGTTAACCAACTTAAATCCATTTTCAATCCATTACCATCCATTAAAATCACGTCGTAAATTCTAGGCATATAAAAACAAATCAAAATTTATTATCATCAAATTATTATTTTTAAAAAAAAATATTTAAGCAATTAACAATATTCTGCTTGGTCCCTTTTTCATCATCATCATAATTTGTCCTTTGAGGTCCTTGTGGAACATAGGGCCCCTGGCAAAGCACGCCACTTATTTATTATAGTACTTTATGTGTTTCTTAACAACATAGGTTTTCGCAGTTGTTCTTTAAATCACACACTTATATTTGACGCCCTCCTTGTGGGCAGCCAGATCGCTACTTCCATATTATTTATTATCTGTTGTCGGTAGAAATTTTGAAGACGGCCACAATTTAACTGCTTCTAAGCTTAGAATAATTGAATGGAATTGTTTTTGTTTTCTTTTTTAATGAAATACAGACAACCGGAAAGTTAGACTTTGTCCAATTCCACGCTGTTTTTGACGGAAGTGCTCTGGTTCAACATCGTTCAACTATGAATCCTCAATATACTGGTAAAATTTGTAGACTATTTCATTTAATATCTTCCCATTTCTATGTGTTAATCTCTTTTCTATTTGTTTCGCTCTCTCTCTCTCTCTCTCTCTCTCTCTCTCTCTCTCTCTCTCTGTCCCTCTCTTCTTTTCTCTCTCTCTCTCTCTCTCTCTCTCTCTCTCTCTCTCTCTCTCACACACTCCCATTTCTATGTGTTAATCTCTTTTCTATTTGTTTCGCTCTCTCTCTCTCTCTCTCTCTCTCTCTCTCTCTCTCTCTCTCAGTGCCTCTCTTCTCTTCTCTCTCTCTCTCTCTCTCTCTCTCCTTCTGTCTCTCTTTCTCTCACACAAACACGCCCACTTTCACATACACAAATACGCTCTCTTCTGTATCCTATACTTTTTAATCATTGATTGTTTAAGCTATCAGGGTTTTAATTACTTTAATTTAACTCTTTACGTGCATTAATACAAATCCTTGAATTAACGTTAACTTACTGGTTAATTGCTGCCGTTATCTTATCGTAAATAGGGGTATGTTTACAATAGCCATTTACGGTAAATAGCAGAATCTTTAAAATAATTGTCCTCTTTAAAGAAAAATTCAAACAAAAAAGTTCAAAATAATTTATTTTTTATTTTTTATATTGCATATTGTCTTTATTCACATTTAATTTGCCAGGAGATCCAAACAGGGTTAGAATTGACGGTGAAAGGTCGGTTGTTATAGGCATTGGAAATATAAAAAAATACACCGAAAAAGGTAATAAAAAGACTTTTGTCCATAAATTTATTGTGGTCTGGCCACAGTCATAATCATTTGTTGTAAATATATTGTATAATCAAATTTTAAACAAATGGCATATTAGCAGACGATGTGCATATTAATAAACTGCGTGCTATCATAAGACAGCTTTCTAATGATTCATAAATATGTTATTGTTTAAAGCATTTCTTTTTTTTATCTGTATTTGTATTCGATTTTTTCGCAAAATCCAATGTATAATTATATTTATTATCAAAAGCCCTAGTAAATGTCAATCATTTGCGTCGCCAAGCTATTCAAAGTCCAAGAGCGTCCACATTTCAACATCACAAAGTTTGGGCGACACTTTTGAGTGTCATTAATAAGAGACCAGGAAAAATATTTTCTGACTTGTTTTTATTTCCGTTAAGATCTTCACAAAGTCTTCTCATAAGACATTTTAAATGATAAAGTATGCGATCAAAAGTTGTTCTGGAGATATTTTGTATTACTATTGATAGCAATACTCAGGTTTAACTAACTATAAAAGTGATTTAATTTTTAAGAACAAAAATTATTTTTATATTTTTTGTTTAGGATCGCCTTTGGACATCTATCAAACACATAAGCACCAAACTGCAGACAATTCTACACTTTTGGTGGGAAATTCCGATTTTGCGTCATCATTTACAGTGAAAACCGCTGGCCTGTACGCTGTCAACTTGAATGTAAGTTAACTTACAACATTTATTACATTCATAAATTTTGAAGCCTTGAATAATGAGAAGAAAAAAAGATAATAAAAACTCGCTTGAACTTAATTTTCCTTTCAATATCAGCATCGATTTTAAGTGTCAAAATGAAAGATAATTTATTTTTATAAAAATCAATCTGATTCGATATTTTCAAAATATAATAAATGAAGTACTGCGTTCAAAGCTGTGTGAATGAAACAGTAGTACACAGTATGTGGAGGGTTGAATCAACCGACAGGACAATAAGATTTCAACGATTTGGTTTAGAGTTAGAGCCTTCTGCAGCAGACAGGACACATACAAATACGAAAAGAAACAGAGCACTGGAAAAAAAAAAACTTTAGAGATCTCCTTTGTTGTTGCCGAAAGTAATTTGTTTTTTCAAACCCCAGATTACAGCACTTGAAAGACTGTATATAGTGGTACTATGAAAAATAAGGTCAAGAATCTTAAGGGACATCTTATTGAAATGGCTTATGATTCAAGCTTCCACAAACTTTGTTCTACTTTTCCATGGATATTTCTAACTCCATTATTTTTCAACATTTTAATTGTAACTAATTGTTCGTAATTTCTCATTGCAATGTGTCATAGGAACATGGATTTCTTTTACTGAAAGTCTTCACGATTTTATCAAATACTGAGATAAAAATAAAATTGTTTTAAAATTACCTAGATCACATAATTTGTTTGTCGCATAAAAGATAAAGATTTGATTTTGTGGAACTGTAAGAAATATAATCTTTTTATATTTATTACGCTTCTGGTGTGAGCGTGGTCTGCTTCCTAATGACTGCTTCCTAATGACTGCTTCATAATGACTGCTTCCTAATGACTGCTTCCTAATGACTGCTTCCTAATGACTGCTTCCTAATGACTGCTTCCTAATCAGACAATTCGGTATTGAGAGTACGTTACAAATAATGCAAAACATTTGAAAAAAAATAATGGTTCAATAATGAGTTCAATAACGTGAAAAATATAATTCCCGATAACTACGCTATATATCTATACCTATATCTATATATATATCTATATATATATCTATAACTATATATCTATATCTATCTATCGATCTATCTATCGATCTATCTATCGATCTATCTATCGATCTATCTATCGATCTATCTATCGATCTATCTTAGCTAGATAGATAGCTAGATAGATAGCTAGATAGATAGCTAGATAGTATCGATCTATCTATCGATCTATCTATCGATCTATCTATCGATCTATCTATCGATCTATCTATCGATCTATCTATCGATCAATCTATCGATCTATCGATCTATCGATCTATCGATCAATAGATATATAGATACATAGATATATAGATATAGATAGATATTACGTGCCAAACGCAGTTCCGTAATATATATATTACGGAACTGCGTTTGGCGCGTAATATTTTCTTTTCGGAAAATGAAATCGTCTCAAAGTTAAATATGGTGTAAAATATATTCGGTTTAAAAGTGGTTGGGACATCAATATATTTAATATAGTTCATGGGTATGAAATAAAAAGTGTACCGTGATGCATCATCGGGGAAGTGGTGTAGCAAAGATTGGGTTCCTAAATGTGTGTTACTTGAGTTTATCTTTTGCCAAGTAACTTTCGTAGATGGGAAGTTCACGCGTTGCTGTTGCCAATGTTTGGAGGGCTATATCTAGGAATTATTATTAGGACTCTAGTGAGGTTAGTTCTGATTTCGTGGGCTGAACATAGGTGTGTAAATTAAATCTTGGTAAGGTGGCTTCAATCAAGGCATTTAAATGAAGGGAAAGAAAAGTATGGAGTCGGTGTCCCGAGAGCTATTGAGTAGATGACACAGCAAGTAGATTAGACCTGGCGTCTGTGTGACGCCACGTGCCATCTTATGTATGGAATAAGAGGGAGGTGTGGTCCCCTTTGGTTACAGCACATCAAACACGCCCATTCTCCTGTGTCAATCTTCGAGAATGAAAATAGCCTTTTTCCGTACCATATTGAACTATATAATATATTTTTTGCACTTGCTTTAATTTTTTTTAAATTTCTGCAACAAATAGCTATTTGCACGCTCTTTTTTTTTGTTGCTCTCTCTCTCTCTCTCTCTCTCTCTCTCTCTCTCTTTCTCTGTGTGTGTGTATGATATCGAATCTCGCATCTCAATTTTTGATCCATTTCCTGTTCTCTAATTGCACTGAAACTTTTTAACCTTACCAACCGCCATGACCAAACAACCCATCATGATCAGTAGGTCATCAATGACCACCGATCACCTTTGCGTGACCTCTGCGGGTCGAATTTTGCGCCTCAATTTTCTCCCAACTTCCTGATATTCATCACGATATGACTAACAGTATTTTTTTTTGAATTACAGCATTATTCAAAACTGTTTTATTTTAAAAGTAATAATCTTCACGATTCTTTTTCTTCCGCAATCAGATAACTATCTTAGACGAGGATGAGAAACCCGGCAAAGAACATTACATCGGCTTGGATTTAAATGGCCAGACTGTCTTAGCGTGTCTTAACGGCGGCTTCAGATGCCCAGAAAATCTCGATGACTCCAGCAAAGTCAGGATCTGCAACATGAACGGTGAGTCGTAAAGCCGGTCGGTCGGCTGGTGTCTTTCAAAACAAATACTTTCATACACTTTATTGAGACGGTTGCAAACCTCTTTGACGTCGTTATGCCCCAAACTTGATCTGGGGAGGGGGGGGGGGCAGAGTTGTAGGTGAGTACTATGTTAGCCTGTTGGTTTCGTTCTAAAAACTCGATCTTTTGGGGGGGGCAGTTTTGTTGGTGAATCATATGTAAATAAAATGTATGATGTGACCCAAGCAAGAAATGCAACACGTTTCCAAAATAATAGCCAGTTCTTGAATGAGTGAGACACTTTTGCCAACAGAATAACTAAATAGTTAGCTAAATAACTCTGGTAATTCGTTTTAATGATGAGAAATACATTTTAACCGTTTAAAAGATATTAAACTGGAGGCTGGCTTTCGTGTATTCCAGGTATCCTCAATTTAAAGGAATCCGACAGGATACAGGTGAAGACGATGGAAGCCAACACAACAATACGAATAGAAACCAACCGCAACTCTTTGCTCACTATGGTGTTACTGAATAAACACTAGAAGTCTTGTGTTACTGCATAAAATCTAGAAGTCTTGTGTTACTGAATAAAAACTAGAAGTCTTGTGCTACTGCATAAAACCTAGAAGTCTTGTGTTACTGCATACAAACTTGAAGTCTGGTGTTACTGCATAAAAACTTGGTCTGGTGTTACTGCATAAAACCTAGAAGTCTTGTGTTACTGCATAAAAACTAGAAGTCTGGTGTTGCTGCATAGAAACTAGAAGTCTTGTGTTTGCTATTACATAAAAGCTACAAGTCTGGTGATACCCCATAAAACTAGTTACGGCATAAAAATTAGAAGGATGTCGCTACAACATAAAAACTAAAAGTCTTGTGCTACTGCATGTAAGTTAGCAGTCTGGTGTTGCTGCATAAAAACTAGAAGTCTGGTGTTTCTGGTGGCGCAGGTAGGGGGGAGTGGCGAACTGAGGGGCGAATCCGACCCGGGTGGCATATTTTTTTCCTTTATCTGGTTTGGCGGCACTTTCAGCTACTGTGGATTTATTTTTCATGTAAGAGGTGGCAAAAAACTTAGCCAAGCACTCAGCGGCACTCACCCTAGCTACTCCACTGAGTGCTACGGCATACAAACTAGAAGTGTGGTGTTCAAGCGTTAAAAACTAGAAATATGGTGTTGATGCATAAAATAGAAGTCTTCAAAGTTATTGCGCAAGATGTTAATGGAATGTAAAAAAAAAAGACTAGAAAGTGAAAACTGTCAATAGATTTGATGTTAAAAAATAATACATTAAAAAATAAGTCGTGGCTTTTTTTCCACGGGTTTATTACCATGTCTTGCCATTTTTGTGTTAGTACATAATTTTTTTGTTCCACCACTTTGATGATATGCCCCGCCATGTCATTTCGTTTATGTCACGTCTCGCGTCGGTTTATTTTCATTGCAAGTACTAGTTAATCCCGCAAAACACTGGCAGTGACAAATGCGTGAAATTTCCATCTACAAAAAATTACTTAAGAAAAATATGCACTCAAGAAACGCATTTTCTAAGAATCCCAATTAGTAAGTAATACACCCCTTAACCCCCCCCCCACCCAAACACCTTTTTTTTTTCAAACCCCTGAACTATAAACTATATTCTGATGTCCGAACCCTTTTTATGCCGCAGATTTATTACGTTACATTTGAGTTGAGACGATGTCCTTATATCCCAATTAGCAAATACAACACCCCTTAACCCCCCCCCCCACCCAAACACCTTTTTTTTTTCAAACCCCTGAACTATAAACTATATTCTGATGTCCGAACCCTTTTTATGCCGCAGATTTATTACGTTACATTTAAGTTGAGACGATGTCCTTAAAACAAAAGAAAAGATTACGCACCAAACGCTTTTGAGCTATTTTTATATTTAGCACAGTTAATGTATGCGCTATTGAACTCACCATAACACCATACTTTCTTTCATTCCTAGAGAATTGCATATATAAATATGAGCCGATATTTCTGGTCCACAAAATGTTCCCCAAAATAACAGCTCGAAATCGAATTTCAATGTGAACGAGCTTTCAGCTTTCATCCGCCAGTCACATTTCCGACACATTTCCGGCACTTTTCTGACACACTTCTGACACATTTCCGGCATATTTATGACGCATTTCGGGCACATTTCTGACAGACTTCCGACACATTTCTGGCATATTTCTGACACACTTCTGGCACATTTCCGGCATATTTCTGAAACACTTCTGACACATTTCTGGAATATTTCTGACATACTTCTGACACATTTCCGACACATTTCTGACACATTTCCGACACATTTCTGACACATTTCCGACACATTTCCGACACATTTCCGACACATTTCCGACATATTTCTGTCACACTTCTGACGCATTTCCGATACATTTCTGACACACTTCCGACACACTTCTGGCATATTTCCAGCATATTTCTGACACACTTCCGACACATTTCCGGCACATTTCTGACATAAGCAAAGGATGTCTACCAGCACACGAGTATTTATTGTTATTTTAATTGTTTTTTTATGTCATGTTTTTTTTGGTTTCTTACTTGATTTATATTATTTTTACCCCTGATCATCAAGGCAGTTTCTGCTAACAGACTAGGTATGAGGGCTACCCCATAACATCTACCGATTGTTTATATTTAAAATGTAGATTCGTTTAATGTTCAGTCCTGTTCTTTTCAATGTTCAGTCCTGTTCTTTTCAATGTTCAGTCCTGTTCTTTTCAATGTTCAGTCCTGTTGAGTTCAATGTTCAGTCCTGTTGAGTTCAATGTTCAGTCCTGTTGAGTTCAATGTTCAGTCCTGTTGAGTTCAATGTTCAGTCCTGTTGAGTTCAATGTTCAGTCCTGTTGAGTTCAATGTTCAGTCCTGTTGAGTTCAATGTTCAGTCCTGTTGAGTTCAATGTTCAGTCCTGTTGAGTTCAATGTTCAGTCCTGTTGAGTTCAATGTTCAGTCCTGTTGAGTTCAATGTTCAGTCCTGTTGAGTTCAATGTTCAGTCCTGTTGAGTTCAATGTTCAGTCCTGTTGAGTTCAATGTTCAGTCCTGTTGAGTTCAATGTTCAGTCCTGTTGAGTTCAATGTTCAGTCCCTGTTCTTTTCAATGTCCAGTCCTGTTGAGTTCAATGTTCAGTCCTGTTGAGTTCAATGTTCAGTCCCTGTTCTTTTCAATGTTCAGTCCTGTTGAGTTCAATGTTCAGTCCTGTTGCGTTCAATGTTCAGTCCCTGTTCTTTTCAATGTTCAGTCCTGTTGAGTTCAATGTTCAGTCCTGTTCTCTGCCATGTTTACCATATCTTGCGAATCATTCTACATAAAATCATTGGTTCACATAAATATTCCTTTTGTTTGTTTTCCTACACGATTTGTCATTACAGTTCCTTTTGAAAAGCCGACAAAACTCGTTGGGCTTTTAATTTTTTAAAAATCTATTTGAGCCATTCATTTTTACCAGTGTTGACACACCTTCTTCACCCATCTCTAGATGTGCGCGTGACCTTGTCAGACGACTCATCAAAAATGTTAATTAAGCTTTTGGTCGTAAAATTGCTCTCGTTGCGGATCTGTTTCTACGGTGCATGAGTAATTATCCATTGAGGGGAAGGGTGGAACAAAATTAAATGTATCTTTAAAATTGTTTTTTTAGTAAATTTTATTAATCAAAAGTCCATGTCATTTACTCACGTTTGAAAATTGATATTATTGTATGCGGGAGTTACCTACCATGTTATATCATGGCTACCTGCCCCTGAAAATGTATTTAAGTTATTAAATATATATTGGTTTTTTTTTAATATATTTTTTTTTATTAGAAAGTTTTTTTTGAAACACGGACTGACTTGTTGATTGTTTTGATTAGTTATATTACAGCGGAAACTGTAAATAACGCGAAACTTTGGTGACTATGGAAAAATTGATTTATTCCCAGAGAGGGGGCTAGTTTCAGGTCGTTCCGGGCTAGTGTGGGTTAGCTGCATCTGCAAGGTATTGCGCTACCTGCTGGGGTGATGCTAGAAAGACTTTGCCATTGTATGCTTGTAATTAGTTTTTGTAGTGTTGCGTTTGTTTTAAATGTGGTAAATTATAGGTTTTTTTTTTTTTGTTGACTTTGTACCGCGCTTCGAGCCTTTTGGGAATGAAGCGTGTTTTTTTAAATGAACTTTATTATTTATTATCATTACTTCAAGGCGCGTTATTTCCAGGTTCATTGGATCACAAATATAGAAGAAAAATTCACGATCTGTAGAACCATCCTCTCTTTAAATTCGTCAAGACCACATATCAGAGAGCTTGCCGGGAGCTGTAAATGAAATCAGAGTACAACCTGGCCGCCTTTTACTTCTGGGGAAACAAGGACTTTTCTCCGGACATCAATGTTGCCGATTAGCAGCATTTCAAAAGACGGCCCGCAATCATTTCATAGTAACCACCCCCCCCCCCACACACACTTTTTCTCGCTTTTCTTGTTACGCTTCCTTTTACTTCTGGGGAAACAAGGACTTTTCCCCGGACATCAATGTTGCCGATTAGCAGCATTTCAAAAGACGGCCAGCAATCATTTCATAGTAACAACCCCCCCCCCCCACACACACTTTTTCTCGCTTTTCTTGTTACGCTGCTGACCAAAAAAAACACACAAATAAAGTTAACTTTTTTTATTTTATTTTGAAATTGTTGACATTTTCAAGGCCTGCCAAAAACGCTCACATTGTCTTTGAAGTTATTTAGTGATTGATGCTGAGAGTGAAGCGGAAATTAAATTAAGCTGCCAGCTACTTAAGGGGGTTTAGATCAAACTTTTCTACACTGGAGTTTGTTTAAGTGGAGCAAATGTTTTAGACTTTATTATTATGTTTATTCAGCGTTCTCATTGCCTAATATAGATGGATTTCCCTGCAACAGCCATTGGTGTAAAAATCTTGTTCCTTTGTTTGAAAAATAAATAATCTAAGGCCTAGTTTTTTTGCTTATTATTATTTTCCGGACCAATGACAACATCTGCCTATTAGTAGGTCAAGGCCAAGTGGCATTCTTTTTTTTTTAAGCGCTTCAACGACTATTATTAGTTTCTGTTTTTATTATTTCTTTAAAAAAAAAAATAATTAAATCTCATTCCCATTGGTCTAATTATAACTATTCAATCTCTTCCACTGATTCGATAAAATAAATCTGTGGGTGTTTATATGGCAACAATGGATCCGCGTGAAGAGCGCGAAGTGTTGAACGGGACACTAGTCCAGGGTGCCTATATATATGGGGGTGCCAAAATGGTCTTCAGATAGGAACTGAATAGTGATGATAAAAACGATAAAATCACATGCACTTCACAAAGACAAGGGATCTCGAGATCACATGCACTTCACAAAAACAAGGGATCTCGAGATCACATGCACTTCACAAAGACAAGGGATCTCGAGATCGTCTACAAGCTGGGCCGTCCCGGGAAGCACATTTTAAAAAAAATAAAATGAGGGGCGGCATTTTCAAGCGCTGCTCTTCCTCATCACGGCCCTGGCTATGATATATTATAGTCAAATGTAAAGTATAATAATTCTTTTTTTTTTATACGCACAAAATGTTCCGTTGTTTGTATGGCGACATTGTGATGGATTACTCCAAGGGCATGTTACTTACTAGGCGATGCTTTGAGACGTGCAGAAGACAGAGACGAATGGTGGAGGATAGTCCACATGTCATCTGTGGCGCCCCAACGGTCCAAAGGAATAAAGGACATGATGATGATGATGTTACTTACAATCAAAGTCACGCTCGATATATTCAATGTTAACTCGGGAATCAAATCAGGGGTCAGCCAGCAGGGGTCTGCAAGAAGGGGGGTCTGCAAGCAGGGGAAATCTACCCCAAATTGGATGCACATTAAAACATGTGGGTAAACAATGTTCAATAGTGAAAAATGAACTCACTTTAAAAAGCCCGTTTCTTGTTTCCCACAAGAAATTTCGTCTGGAAGTCAGCAATGAAAAATGAGCTTCTCTCTACCATTAAAAACTGATTTACGTGCATTTGTCGATTCTCTAAAGGAATGCGTTTAGACGACTGTTTAAGACAAAAAGGACATGACATCATCAGCATTTCCAGTGATGAAAGATAAAGATAGACATACATTTTTTTGTCATCCAGACAGCTGGTTTCGTCTTGTTTAAAAAGTGAGTTTCTCGTTGCAACAGAAAATATTCTCCTGGCAACACTGCCTCCGGTCACTTTTGTGGCTAGTTGCGGCTAGTTGTGGCTACTTGAAGTAGAGACCTACCGAATTTCGGCTTCGGCTTCGGCGCCGAAAGTGGCCGAACGAGAAAAAATAACTTTCTTTAATGAACAAATAAAGCGATCATTAACAAAAAACTGAACGATCTTTAACAACAAACTCAGCGATCTTTACGATCAAACTAAACGATCTTCAACCGCAAGATGTTATATTAGATGGTTATTTATTAATATTCACGATTGTCTCATTTTTTATAAAAATAATGTAAATGTTTATACTTTCTCCCATCAGTTTCGATGCATGCAGAATGTATGCGGGAACGAATTTCAAAATATCTAAATATTTCATTTTTGGTTTCGACCGAAAGTCATTTTTAATTCTCGGCCTTTTTTCGGTTTCGGCCGAAACTCATTTTAAACTTTCGGCTTCAGCAGAAATCAGGAAATCACTTTCGGCCGGTCTCTAGCTTGAAGTTAACAGTTGTGGCTACTTGCAGGTAACTGCAGATAGTTTTGGCTGGATGTGGCTAGTTGTAGGTAACTGCGGCTGGTTGCGGCTGGTTGTGGCTAGTTGTGGCTGTTTCCGGCTAATTGCGGCTCGGCAGTTAACTTAAAATGACGTCTTCCTCTTGGTCTAGTCACCTAGTCTTATCTTATGTAAGAAAAAAAAAATCCGGATTGTAGTACTTTTTTTTTTTTTTGATAATTTATTTTCCCTCTTGCTTTTATCGGCAGTTAACTTAAAATGACGTCTTCCTCTTGGTCTAGTCACCTAGTCTTATCTTATGTAAGAAAAAAAAAATCCGGATTGTAGTACTTTTTTTTTTTTTTGAGCATTTATTTTCGCTCTCGCTTTTAAGGCCACCCACCCCAATATTGGAAGTTGGAGGGTGTGGGGATAAAGTAGGCGTCGGAAAGATACATTTTGGGGTCACAACCGAAAAATGTTCCACTCGACCACTGCAAAATAATTCGTGAGATAGGCCGCTTAGAAACTTTCCTGTTAAACATTCGTGAAGGATATTGCCGCTTTCCTCAAACACCCCCCCACCCCCCCACCCTTGCGCACACAATTTATTTCTTGCCACGGTCTGCTTAAAACAGTCTCCAAAAATGTTGAACCCCAATGTTCTATCGTTCTATGCGCCAGTGCACAGACATTTAGACACCGTACGCTTTTTGTGTTCTGGGTCAAGGTTACATACATTTACCTCTGTGTGGATTTTTTTTTTCTTCTGCAAAACCTTATCAGGCGTAGCGTTTTACCTGGAAAGCCTCAAAGAATAATAATGATACCGCTTTTTAGGATTTCAGTTTCGGTCAATGAGTCATCTACATTTGGAATGCAGGCACACAGTCGGCTCTTGTCGGTGAAACTTAAGCACATGCATGCACTTTCCGACGGCAGCATGGATGTGGATTTGATTTAAGTATGTGTTATATTTCTTTTAAACATTTTTGACCTTGCAACAAAAAAATAGGCCATTCTATAAATTTGGAAATCTACGGTGCTTCATTCGCATTGTGACGTGGTGTAGTTTTAACTTGTATAAGTCAAACAGTTTTCTTTTGTTATGTGTGTGTGTGTGTTCGCGTGTGTGTGCACATGTGTGTGTGTGCGTGTGTGTGTGTGTGTTCTGGTAGAAGATACATTGTTTCGAATTAAATTAGATTTTTTAAATTTTAACTTCAATCTGTTCGTTGCGTTATTTAAAGTTCTTAATACGTTCAATGCAAATATTTTTACTAATCGACACCGTGTCCGAAAAAAAAGGGAATATTTATTTATGATGAATAAAACTCATGGTAACTATTTATCCATTTTTTAAATCATTCTAATACGCATTTTGTTACCAACATAATGGCAACTCATCTAATAGAAGGAAAACTCTCAGTTTTTCAAACCCGGAGATGGAATCCCATAGGTGGTATGAAACTGACACAATGAAAAATTCCGGCCAACTCCACTGCGATGCCACTGGCTGCCAAGCTGTGTCCAACCGCATGGAGGTTTCTTGGGTTTGTCCCGGGTGCTGGGAAAAGAAGTCATTTGCTGTCTAAGGAGCAAGCGCCTCAAAATAAAGAAAAGTCCCAAGCCTTGTGATGTCGTCCAGCCAAGTCTACACCATCGTCACTTTCGGTCAATGAGTCATCTACATTTGGAATGCAGGCACACAGTCGGCTCTTGATGGTGATACTTAGCCCATGCATGCACTTTCCAATGATGTCCCGTCCCCCCGTCCCCCACTCTTCCCAACAATTCTTTTTTTAATGTTAGATTTCAGCAAGGACCTTCATTATCTTTGGTAAATATGTCAGGACTCAACTGATTTGTTTTTTTTTCCTTTCATTATTGTCAAAGGGGTTACTTGCGGAAACATTGTAGTTTGTTTTCAATCAATCAAAGTCAATATACAAAGTCTGAAAAGTAGTTTTTCATATTTTAAAATCAATTTTACACACCTCTGATCGTCTCTAAACATGTTTTTATAATGCACGACCTTTGACATTCTGGGGGAAAACCAAGGTGAAATATCAGAACCTTGCAAAAAGTAAAAATTTTAGTATAGATGATCGAGACAATATCTGCTTTTCTTTTAATCACTCCACCTTGAGCCAATCCAAAAAGACCATCCAGTATCCATTAAAAGAAAGTTGGCTATCAAGTTTTCAAAACAAAAAAGCTTGATCTATTCTCGATTTTATCTTCCAGTGAAACACATTTTCATATTTTCACTCTATTAAGATGCACCCAATTTAAACTACTTCTTTCCTTGTTCGGGCATAAAATATCAAAAGAACGGACCTTGAAACTCCGGTTCGAGGGGGGGGGGGGGAGTCAGGGGCTTATATGTTATACCCACACTGCATTTAGTATCTATTAAAAAATGCACAAAAACCTTAAGTGCCCAAAATCAAAATAAAGATCTTAAGGAACTGAAAAGATATTAACGGGCGCTATGATATGTCTTGGGATTTGATTGTGTAAAATATGCTTGGCGGGATGAATCAAATAGGAGCAAATATACAGGGATTATTTTTCCGTCTTCTTCTATATATTAAGGGCCCACAATCAATTTATTGACCATTTTGGCTCCTATAAATTTCACGGCTTACATCTATAAATTTATTTAAGACTCAGCGTCAGTTCAAATTTTCGATCATGCACTTCACGCGATCTTTGTATGAAGCCTTGTCACGACTTGTAAATTGCTGTTTAACCAAATTATCTTTTTTGTCCTTAAAAAAAAAAGAAGAAAGAAACCAAGCACAAAATAGTGCTTTCATACAAAAATTTGACACGTAATTTGAAGCTAATTTGATCGTGTGAACTAGCACTTAATGTTAAGGCCGTTTTTTTTTCATTGTTTTTTTTTCTAAACCCTTCATTGATTTCACCTAAATTAAGTCATTGTGTAGAGCCACAATGCCATGCCCACTCATCCTCCTCGTGAGCATTGGCCATGACATCCATTTCAATATTGAAACATCTTTGAGGATTGTGATAGTCTTTGGAACTATACTGTAAGACAGAACGGGAAAACATGGATAAGTTTGACAGACACTGTTGTTATTTGTATGTGCCTCATATTCATTCACGCCAAACGTGTGTCTGGACACATATCTGTTCTATGATTTCCAAAACTATATATAAACCAATTGTGTTGTTTATACTTCCAGGACGATATTTTCTTAAGCCGTCGATGGCTTTTGAGTTCGGGATTCAATTATAACAAGGTATCACCAGCTATTCTCGAAAGGAGAGAAACCGCGCACCAAATTCAGCCTCACTTTAAAAACCATCTACAGCAGCCCTGCTGCGAGGGGAACGGCTACATTACTATGTGTGTCCAATGACGATCTGAAGTTCCCGGGAACAAGAGAACTACTAATGAACCAATACCCGAAATCGCAAAGCACAACAGATTATGCTGACGAGGCAATGCTATCGTCACTTTCCAACTCCAAGCCATTGACCCCTAGCTGTGGCCAATCCACGAAGGTACCGCTTTGTCCTCAAGAAGGGGAACATAAAGCCACCGGTTCCTATAACCCTGTGTGTCAGCCGGATCGTGGGAAAACGATGACGTATATTTCAACGGATGCAACTGAATGCGGTAGTCTGCAAAGCAGCAACCTTCATAACAGAAAGCAACAACAGCCTTCTTTGGCACCCTGCTCCGATGATCCAACAAATTGGCCATTCTTAGGAAAAACAATGTTCAAAGAAAATATCCACAGTAATTTAGAAGCACGGGTAAGCCTTGGGCCAATAGTTTCGGAAGGTCAAAGTCCGCAAAGAAGCACGAATGTGGCTAAGATTAGAGGTAGCACTAAATGTGAGACGTGGGTTGCTGCGCTTGCTGTGATATGCCTCATGGCCGTCGGTTTAGTGCGTCTTCGGATGACAGAAAAAGTGATGGAGGAGAAGGTGATCGAACTTGAAGAATTGAAGTCGAAGGTGAACATGATGGAGCAGCAGATTATTGATACTGAACACTTCAAGTCTAGGGTGAACATGATGGAGCAGCAGATTATTGATACTGAACACTTCAAGTCTAGGGTGAACATGATGGAGCAGCAGATTATTGATACTGAACACTTCAAGTCTAGGGTGAGCATGCTGGAGCGGTTGGTCCACAGAATGAGTGAGGCGAATTCTGAACTGAGAATACAGGTAATTATTACTATGAATAGTGGACATAGAAATCTACGTACTCTAAAAAGAAAAATATACAAATGTGTTTTGCTGTATTGAGCGTATTAGGCCGGATGGCGCCCTTAAGCTTAGAAGGCTGATTACTTCAAACATGACTTTGTAAGCAACAAACATGACTTAGGAAGCAACAAACATGACTTTGGAACCAACCCAAATTGGAAAAAAAAAATGCAGGCGTTAACCACGGGCAAAATACTTTTAAAATTATAATTTTTCTATTCATTTAGTTTGTTACTTTGTTTCGTCTCCAAAAGTACTTTTTTCCAGCCTGACATATAAAAAGATACATGTTTTTTCCAGCCTGACATATAAAAAGATACATGTTTTTTCCAGCCTGACATATAAAAAGATACATGTTTTTTCCAGCCTGACATATAAAAAGATAAAACATGTTTTTCTGTCATCTTATGCAGAATACGTTTAAAACGAAGACGGCTGCACCGATGTCTACTATGAAATTTCCTAAAGAACTACACCGTTTCCCCGACTTCACTGGAACCACCAACCAGCCAGCATCACGAGGAGGAGGCCTGTCCAGAGCCAAACGAGACGCTAGCGAACAGCGGAATGGCCCCGTTAAAGGTGTAATGAGGTCGATCCTCAACTGCTACTGCAAAACGAAATCAGGTGAGACATCATCTGCAGGCCTCCTAACATTGATAGGTAGTGTGACTTGACACATAGCACTGTTTGTTCCATCATTGATAGGTAGTGTGATTTGACACCTAGCACTGTTTGCTACATCATTGATAGGTAGTGTGATTTGACACCTGGCACTGTTTGTTCCATCCTTGATAGGTGGTGTGATTTGACACATAGCACTGTTTGCTCCATCATTAATAGGTAGTGTGATTTGATACCTAGGACTGTTTGTTCCATCCTCGATAGGTGGTGTGATTTGACACCTGGCACTGTTTGCTCCATCATTAATAGGTAGTGTGATTTGACACCTAGCACTGTTTGTTCCATCCTTGATAGGTGGTGTGATTTGACGCATAGCACTGTTTGTTCCGTCAATACGGTGTGTCATGGCCAGTTGCGAGATGTTTTACTGCAATGATTATGAAAGAGGTTATAAATGGCAATTATTTGGCCCTGTTAGTTATAAGCAGCTGTCTGTGTTACCTGACTTTCGTGGCCTTAGAAATCGGAGGCGTACTCAACCTCAGTTACTATCCGCTGGTGTGGGATTTCATCATCTGACTTCAAACGTCCGTTTAAAAAAATCAGGAAAGCTTGTAATATCACACAAACTGCACATCCTTCACTTAAAGAACTATTTGAAGAAAAATGCTGTTGTAAAACTCTCTTTTTAATTCCATGATACATCAAACCCTTTTCATCATATATACCTAAGATCAGCTACTTTATGGCGAATACTTTCCCTTAAATTTAGGACCGAAGGATTTTTTTGAATATTTTACTACCCAGTCTGTAAAGATTTACCAGTGTGCTCCCCCAGCGTTTACCTTATCTAAGTGATCATTAATTGAGTTATTTTAGTCACTAATTTAGTTCTTTTTTTATATTTCGATTATATGATTTCTGATTTTTACCCCAGAAATACAAAATACTTTAATAATAATAATAAAGCTTATTTGAAAATCACGCTTCATCCCCAAAGGCTCGAAGAGCGGTACAATGTCATCAATATTAAAAAGAAATGAAAAAAATCTATATTTTACCACATTGAAATACAAAACGCAACATTACAAAAACTACATACGAGAATACCCATTCTAAGTCTTTCATCAATTGCAACCATAAACAACACAGGCCACTTTACATCTAGGGGATAATAGTTAGCTGGAAAAGACGGTAGACAAATTCACCCCAACAGGTGTTTGCGAAAAAGATATGTTTTCAAATCGGTTTTGAAAGACTCCAGTGTCTTGCTGTTTCTGAGAGTGACAGGAAGTGTGTTCCGAATTGTTGGGCCAGCAAATGCGAAAGTGCACCTTCCGTAAGTCTCAAGGAGAACACGTGGTATCGAGTGTTTGCCACTATAGGATGATCGGAATTGTCTATTTGGTACATAAGGCGTCATGAGCGCTTTGAGATGAGACGGCGCCAGGTCATGCAAACACCAGTAGCACAGAGTTACAAACTTGCACTCTATGCGAGCGCGGACCGGCAGCCAATGCAACTTTCTCAGAAGTGTTTAATTTGCGATTGTGAAAAACAATGCGAGCCTTATTATTCTGTACCTTTTTAATTTTATCCAGGAGCTTAGCTGGAAGACCCACCTTGAGAGCATTGCAGTAGACCATGCGTGATAGCACGAATGCAGACATAAGCCTCTTTGTAGCACCAAACGTTGAGAAAGGTCTGATATGACTAATTCTGCGCACCTCTAGAAAAATCGCCTTGCAAATCACGTTAATGTATTTTTCTATAGATAGTGTTCTGTCTAAGTAGACACCCAGATTTCGAACTGTTTGAGCAAATTCAATCTGTATACCTGAGAGAGAAAGGGGTGGTGTGTTATTTACAGATTTTAGCTTTTGAGCGGTAGCAATGGGGATCAGCTCGGTCTTCTCATCGTTCAATTTGAGATTGTTTATGTTCATCCAGTACTTAACTGACTCCACTGTCTTCTGTGTTTTACTAAGAAGTTGATGGAACTGAGAGGGGATCACGGACTGCTGAAGTTGGGTATCATCCGTAACATGTGATGTAGCATATCAAACTGCTTGATCCCTGCACCCAAGGGCTGAACGTACCTGGTGACAAGCACCCGACCTAGGACCGAGCCCTGGGGTACTCCGAATTCAGTAGTAGATTGCTTCGAGGTCTTTAGATGTCTTGTGTTTAAATTGTTCATTTTATAAATGTCTCGACGCGTTTATTTATATGCTAAAAATAAATACGCAAATTTTCATTTTAAAAAAAAAATCCTTCGGTTTATATGGATCCATAAAAGACTCTTATCTTATCTTTCAAAAACTAAAAATTACAAGTATGTTATTTAAGTACTTATTAATATTAAAAACTAATAAACACTTGTAAAACGTATGCACGATCTAGAGTTAACAAGACATTTGTTCTCCCCTCCCCTCTTTTCCAACCTCCACCAATTAAACCAACTATTTCCCAAGCCTATGCCCTGATCTAAACAGATGAACGGAAGGAAACTGATTGATGGACGAATGGAGGAGTTGTTGAAATAGCCTCCTTAAATCAAACTCCTTCCGCCTCGGGCTCTCGCTAATCTAATTTCTATTTTCTTGGTTTATTTGATGATGCAAATTAACGTATTATTTTTATCTCTCCCTGCCCTTCTATTTCAACTAAATCACCCTTGATGGCGTCACATTTCCAGGTAAAGGAACTAGCAGACAGGTAATTCAAACATCATTAACGGGTTTATGTAAACATTCGCTTTCTCACTCCCACTGATGCAAATAATATGTTTTAGCGCATTACTTTGGCAATTACTAAGACAGTGATCGGCAAACTCAGTCAATAGAGCTAAAAAATCAGGAGAAGGGCGATTAAACATTTTTTGAGAGCCAAATTTCTTTTCAAAACCATGTTGTTGTTTTTTTGGAGTGAAAACCGATTCGCTGGCGAATACCCGAGCCACACTCAGGTCAGTAAAGAGCCGCATACGGCTCGCGAGCCTCGATTTGCCGACCACTGTACAAGGAGATCATGTCAAGCCTTTCCCCGAACATGGAACTTCCCGTCTTATCACTCTGATCATAACCAACTTAAGAACACTTTGATCCAAGTGCTTCATGTTGTAAAATGCATCTACTCCCCTTGATCCAGTTATTAATGATTATGATCACTGAGCAGTTACAACATGAAATGCATGGAAAATAATCATCAAAAGTGATTTATTTCTGCACTGCACACATTAGTATTTCTTGCGTGTGTGTGTTTTTTAAAGAAAATATAATTTCGTCATTGAAGAGTTGTTAATGAACGCACATTTTTATATTATACGCATTCCTTGTGGATGGACAGATAGCTACTAGTACATTATCTACTAGAAGATATGACCCGGTGTTACTCGGGTAAAACGAAAGGCATATTGCTCTACCTTCTATTGCAATGTCTCAACATCTAAAAACATACATTTTTTAAGTCATGCCACGGAATCGCGTTTGGAATATGTTGTATCTTCAAAAAAGTACAACTTTTTCACACCCTTGAAATAAATAATTAGGAAAAAAATAAGCAAACGACCCTTATATTAAAAGATGTATCTATGTAAAGATATTTACGTTTCTATGATCACTATGTTTTTAGAATTTTTTTCTTCTTCTATATAATAGAGGTATACCATATTCTTTTCTCATGCCCATCATCTAAAAAGAAAACAAATTTTAGAAAAATTGTAAAAAAACATCTCTGTCCTAAATTTTTGCAAGTAATCAAACACTATTCAAATTGTATCCCCATTCCAGTTTTCTCGCCTATAGAGTGTTTTAAAAAAATGGTAAACAGTTCAGGTTGTTTTTTTTTTAAAAATATTATCATTATCAAACTTCATTGAGCTTTGAGGCATGAGTATGAGTATAATTGTGTACTGACGTAAAAAATTTGAAAATTCTTTTTCTAATGTTTAACGCATAGTTACTCTTTCTAAGTTTTCAAAAAATAAGTAGAATTTTTTTTGTGTTTTTACAAAAAAATGAAATTCACACAACCGGACAGTTAGAATTCGTCCAGTTCCTTGCTGTGTTTAACGGAAGTCCTCTGGATCAACATATTTCAACTATGACACCTGAATTTAATGGTAAAGCGTGTGGACTATTTATTAACTTCCCATCTCTGTATATCAATCTTGTTGTCTGCCTGTCTCTCTTTCTCTCTCTCTCTCTCTCTCTCTCATTTTATCTCGAGCCCCCCTTTCTATATCTCTCTCTCTCTCTCTCTCGCTCTATCTCTCTCTCTCTCTCTCTCTCTCTCTCTCTATCTTTTCACTGTTACTCTCATACTTCTTTATTTATTTTTTTTTTCAACTATGTCACCTCAATTTAATGGTAAAGCGTGTGTACTATTTATTATCTCCCCATCTCTCTATATCTATCTCGTTGTCTGCCTGTCTCTCTCTCTCTCTCTCTCTCTCTCTCTCTCATTTTATCTCGAGCCCCCCTTTCTATATCTCTCTCTCTCTCTCTCTCGCTCTATCTCTCTCTCTCTCTCTCTCTCTCTCTCTATCTATCTATTCACTGTTAATCACGTACTTCTTAATGTATTCATTTGTTAAAACAATTAGTGTTTTAATTACTTTAAATCTGATAAAGCCCAAACTAACGTTAACTTACTGGCAAATCGCTGCCATTTTGTTATAGTAAATATTGGGTAAGTTTACAATAGAAGTTTACAGTGCGGAGCCGCATCTTTCAAATAGTTCTTTTTTTGTTCACCTTAATTCTTTTAAAAATTAAAAATTAATTTCCTTTGTTTTAATATCATATTTCACCAGGAGATCCAAACGCAGTTGAAATTGAGGGAGACTGGCCGTATATTCTCCGTATCGGAGGCGTTATCACATACATCCGTCAAGGTAACCCCCTCCCCCCCCCCCCCCACAGTGTGTAAATGCGCGTATCGATCAGACCGCGTCATCACGCTTTAAAAAATATTGAACATTTGATTGTGTTAACAAACACTTCATAAGTAGAAAATATATATTTATTTATTTATTTATGTATATGTCTTTATTTATTTTATTTATATATATTTATATTTATTTACATCTATATATAAAACTCATGCTGGCATAATTCAGTTTTTCAATTATTCAAAAACAACTATTGAAATCTTACAGATGTTTTCTTGTGGATCGTAGACTTTCTCACAACCGCTTGCGTAATCACGTGTAGACGATGTCCTACGAAATTTCTATGACGTTCTCCTGCTCAGATCACTCAAATTGCTAGAGTAGCCACATTTCAGCAGAATAATGTTTAGGAGTTAGACCAGGAAAAATTAACGTTAAGGAGTCAGACCAGGAAAAAAATAACTTTTCTGAGGCAGATGAGAAAAAAAATTACTTTCCTGAGGTAGACCAGGAAAAGTAACTTTTCTGAGGTAGATCAGGAAAAATAACCTTTTTGAAGTAGACCAGGAAAAGTAACTTTTCTGGGGTAGATCAGGAAAAGTAACTTTTCTGGGGTAGATCAGGAAAAATAACTTTTGTGAAGTAGACCAGGAAAAGTAACTTTTCTGAGGTAGACCAGGAAAAGTAACGAAAAGTAACTTTTCTGAAGTAGACCAGGAAAAGTAACTTTTCTGGGGTATTTCAGTTAGGATCACAACAAAGGTATACATTATAATAATACATTGAAACATGCATTAGTAAATAACAATAGTTATTAATCTTTAATAAAACACGTTTTTTTTTACAAAGTAAAATAATAATATATAAATATTTTAGGATCACCTTTGCACATCTATGAAGCATACAAGCCTCAACCTGTAGACACTTCGACTGTTTTGGTGGAAAATTCCAATGTTTCGTCAACTTTTACTGTTAAAATCAGTGGCCTGTACGCTGTTCACGTGGACGTAAGTTACTTTAATTTTTTTTCATTACATTGATGAGTTTTGAAGTTTGTGACAGTGTTTTAAATTTCAGTTTCACAGTACAGCTTCCTCCTATAGGAACATCAGGTAGAGATAGAAAAAAATTATGTTCATGTTTTTTTTTTTTTTGGGGGGGGGTTTTGTTTTGTTAGTGATTTTTTTTTTTTTTTTGTTTTTTCAGGTAGAGATAGAAAAAAATTATGTTCATGTTTTTTTTTTTTGGGGGGGGGTTTGGTTTCTTTAATGATCTTTTTTTTTTTTAGTTTTGAATGTAATCTGCAATAAATATTTATTGTTTATGAACAGGTTCCTTCACGGCTGTCACAATACAGAGATAAAGTATTTGTTTGTTATTCTTTCTCAGGGTGTCTTATTAATGTTTTTTTTTTAATATGATTTGATAATGTTGCATTTCGGAGATTTTGGTAACTGAGAACGATGTTACGGTTAGGTGCCGGGCAAAAAAGGGGGTGGTGGGGGATAGGGCGATGGTTGGTAGAGTTATCCCTCGGTGGGTCAGAAGATTAAGGAGCCGATGTCCGAGAGCAGTGGGGGAAAGATACACATGAAATAGATCAGAGCCTGGAGTATGTGTGGCTCATGCGATCTTATATGTTGACTCTTAGTCATCTAATAATCCTGTTTTCTGTAATGGTCTTCGTGGACTGGCATCGGAACGGGCAAGCCTTGCGTTGCCGGTCAGCAAAACATTAATAGTGTTGTTCAAATAACAGGAATTTAAAAAAAAAATAATAATAAATCTGGCACAGGAGGTCGTTATTTAAAAAAAAATTATTCTTCGGCCAGGCAATCTTAAGAGTGTTGGAAACAACGCTCTCTGGTATCCGTGCATCCCAAACGTTTTTTCGGCTGTCCATCTGTGACAATTACATTAATAATTTATGTATTACATTTTAACTTAATAATATATGTTTTCTACATGGTGTACATTTTTGCACGTGATGTATATTTTGCACATGATGTATATTTTGCTAATGATCTATAATATTTTGCACTTGATTTTTATTTTGCACATGATGTATATTTTGCACATGATTTATACTTTGCACATGGTGTATATTTTGCGCATGACGCATATTTTGCACGTGATGTATGTTTCGACTTTATGTATATTTTGCGATAGATGTATATTTTGGCATGTTAATAAATAATTTTTAAAAATAACAAACAGTTATTTTTTTGTTCCGAAACAGATAACAATTTCCGATGAGAACCATAGAAATAAGCAGTACATTGGCGTGTATGTAAATGGCCTAGTTGTCTTGGGGTGCCTTAACGGTGGCCTCTGGTCCTCAGAGAATCTCAAGGATTCCCCAGTGACCAGAATCTGCAATATTAATGGTGAGTGTTAAGACTGAGGCGTGTTTAATTTTTTTTTTTTTCCCTTTATTTACTTTCGTTTGTAAAAAAATATATTTTAGTAAATCTCATGATTGAAGATAGATTCAATCTTATCAGTTTAGTTGTGTTTAACTGGAAGATGAGATCGTCTATTTTTTTTGTTTCAATCTAGGTGTTCTCAATCTGAAGGAGTCTGACAGAATTCAATTAAAGACAATGGAAGCTCACATAACAATACTAGTAGATCCCAAAAAGTTTAACTCTGTGTTCACTATGGTGTTACTCCATAAAAGCTCGACGTCTGGTGCAGAGGCAGGGAGGGGGTACATATGTCCCTGGGCGCCAGACTAGTTAGGGGCGCCAAAATGTGCTCTGATATTACTGTATTGATGAAAATAATTGGTTTGAGAGTTGAAAAAAAGAAAGGGGGGCGCTTTAAAACGAATCTCGTCCCGGGCGCAAAACACTCTAGCTACGCCTCTGGTCTGGTGTTACTTCATTAAAAAATGGAAGTCTAGCAATCAGTGACGTAGAGAAGTGGGCGGTGCCGGTGGTACAACCAGGGCGTCGTCACATTGTCCCCCTGTATACGGAGGCTTTGCATGTTCGGTCCGCTGCAGTATTTTTAGGTGATAGGGATGGCGAAAAATCTTGGAAGGCCGCCCCGGGGTGTGGGTTGGGGGGGGGGTATTACCCTAGCTACGCCAGTCCTGGTTTTAATGCATACAAATTAGAATTCTGCAAAGTTAGTGCGCAAATGTATGTTAAGAATGTATGTTAAGAATGTATGTTAAGAATGTATGTTAAGAATGTATGTTAAGAATGTATGTTAAGAATGTATGTTAAGAATGTATGTTAAGAATGTATGTTAAGAATGTATGTTAAAGTTGTACATTTTAGTTTTAGTTTTAAATAAATTATTTTGAAACACGGAATGACATGTTGATTTTTTTTTTCATTAGCCATGCTATCACAAATATAGAAGGGTCTTATGACCCATGGAGACAGTCACTCACGTCATGGAACCTATATTATTATATTTAATACTTTTTATTTATTTATTATTTATTTTAATTTTTTTTTTAACTACTGCGATATCAGATTTACTTACCAAAAATTAAATTGGTCACAAGCTGACCTCAAAAGGTCTCATTTAGATCAAATAAGTTTGCTGAGACTTGACAGGAACATGCGTAGACAATATCGCCCAACTAGAAGTTACGATATGAGACCTTATTTTTCCTTTTATTTATCTAAGTTTAAGTTGACACACAATATGTTACAAAACGTGTCATGCAAAGACGATAATGTGAAAGTTAGTAGTTTTATCACTTCACACAATAAAAGCTTTATTCCCATCTGGGTAAATATTGCATTTTTTCCAGCAGTGTAACACCAAACCAAACTTAAAACTGAACAAATATTATACCCCACTCACTGACTCACTAGCTGATCACGAGATCTCAATAACAACAAGAACTATGAAGTTGTATTTTCCAGTTCGGCTGCTCTTACACTGATGGCTTACACTGACAAGTTTTTTTATTAAGGAATTCATCTTCTATGGGCTTTAAAATGACCAAAGTCCGAAACATATATAAACGCATCGATTTGTTTCGTAATGGGTGTTTGGCTTATGTTTTTGACATCACATTTTATATAACTTGCACGTTATTTGTATACGCTCTATATGATACTTTTTGCGAACGGTGCACATCTAAAAAATATTAATGTTTAAGTTCTTGAACGCGGCATCAAATGTTAAATATCCTATGAGATGTAGATATGTTTGTATTTCAATAACGGTTGTTTAATTCAACACGATAATTGTTATTTGTTAATTATTTTATTTAAATTTTAGAAGCTTTTTGTTGTTTTTTTTTCTTTTCAATACAATTTTTTTTTTTTTGCGGGGAAGATATTTTAAAATGAGTCGATGCTAAATATGCCTTTAATAAAATGTTACACCTTTTAATTAATTCCCACTAAAGTGAGACCAGTTTAATGGGGAATAAGGGGGCGGCTTTCAAGGTGGGTAAAGAAACATAAAAGATCGGTGGCATTAGTAACAGCATAATGTTATAACAAAAATCCCCAGCTGTAACTGTGAAAATAAAAGTTCTATTTTTGTTTGATTGGATATTTATTTAGCGCTGGTACCCATGCTGCTTTAGCATGCTCACTGCGCTCTGGTTTTCTTAAATCTATTTAAACAAAAAAAGTCTTTAAACGTTTCTTAAATGATTTTTTTATCATTTTCAATTCCCCCTCAAAGATTGAGGCAAACTGTTCCGTAATTTTGGCGCTGTCGCTTCAAAAGAGCGCACTCCGTAAGACATTTTTTCTGTGTTCATCCACATTTGGAATTTTCCGTAAGGACTGTGTTGAAGACCACGGATTCTTTAAGGATACATGTTTATAAATCAGTTCTTTAAGATATTCCAGTGCAAAGCCTTCTATACAGCTGTACGCCAGGGACAGAATTTTGTAGTTAATGCGCTCACTCACATGAACCCAATGGAGATCTCGTAGACCTGGGGTGATGGGGTCCGATTTCTTTATCCGCGATACAAGGCGTGCTGCATTATATTGTACCTTCTGGAGTCTCTGAATTTGGTTCTGAGGTAAACATCACAAACAACTGTTACAGTCATCTAATCATTGATTCCTAAGTAGTGCATGCTCCTGCTTTCTGTTTGAACACGTTTTAGTTTGAAAATCGCAAGTGGGAATCGCCATAATTGTATTTTTATTTCATGCTCTTTTCGTCTTCGTTTACCAGAAGCTCATTATTTTCATAGCATTGATTAGCTGAATATTTTTTTACTTTAGATCACCGGGAATTTTATTTTCATCCCAAGGATACAATGTCGCTGAAAATGATACGCAATGTGATGGCTGGGACTACTTGTGGACTTTCGTGGTAACATTCGAATTTTAATATCTTGTTGGCCTAATTTTGTGTGGTGTGGTCCAGTCTCACTAAGACTCTACCTCCAGCGGCCCCGGTATAATTTGGGTTTGAGACCCCTGCTCTATAAGATCATTGACCGATAAAAACTAAACAAAATACCAACCATAGGGTAAGGAAAATATAATGGTTAGATATAACAGGATTGTAATATTACCAAAGAGAGAGAGAGACACCCGGTAACTTTGCGTCTAAATAAACATTCGAATTTTAATCTGTTAAACAAGTCTAATAACCTAAAATCGGACAATATAATATTAACACAGTAACATTAATATAAAGCAGGTGATTAAAATTACTAGTGATCACAATATAAAGCAGGTGATTATAATTACTAGTGATCACAATATAAAGAAGGTGATTATAATTACTAGTGATCACAATATAAAGCAGGTGATTATAATTACTAGTGATCACAATATAAAGCAGGTGATTAAAATTACTAGTGATCACAATATAAAGCAGGTGATTAAAATTACTAGTGATCACAATATAAAGCAGGTGATTATAATTACTAGTGATCACAATATAAAGCAGGTGATTATAATTACTAGTGATCACATTATAAAGCAGGTGATTATAATTATTAGTGATCACAATATAAAGCAGGTGATTATAATTACTAGTGATCACAATATAAAGCAGGTGATTATAATTACTAGTGATCACAATATAAAGCAGGTGATTAAAATTACTAGTGATCACAATATAAAGCAGGTGATTAAAATTACTAGTGATCACAATATAAAGCAGGTGATTAAAATTACTAGTGATCACAATATAAAGCAGGTGATTAAAATTACTAGTGATCACAATATAAAGCAGGTGATTAAAATTACTAGTGATCACAATATAAAGCAGGTGATTAAAATTACTAGTGATCACAATATAAAGCAGGTGATTATAATTGCTAGTGATCACAATATAAAGCAGGTGATTATAATTACTAGTGATCACAATATAAAGCAGGTGATTATAATTACTAGTGATCACAATATAAAGCAGGTGATTATAATTACTAGTGATCACAATATAAAGCAGGTGATTATAATTACTAGTGATCACAATATAAAGCAGGTGATTATAATTACTAGTGATCACAATATAAAGCAGGTGATTATAATTACTAGTGATCACAATATAAAGCAGGTGATTATAATTACTAATGATCACAATATAAAGCAGGTGATTATAATTACTAGTGATCACAATATAAAGCACTGACCGTGCTTTAAACACTTCAAATATACTCCCCCCCCCCTTTTTTTCCTCCTTTCCACAAGCCATTTCAAATTTAAGAATTTAAGTCTCCTCCACCACCTTACAAAAGATACAACACATTTTTAAATTGGAGAAAAATCATTAAGCATATACTTAACTTTAAAACAAAACAATTGCATCTCTTCTCTTTTAATGACGTTTCCCTGAGATGACACTTCCCTTTGTTTGTGAGCAGTGCAGTGGTTCTCAAAGAGATCTTCGTGGACCAGCCCCGGTTCGCTAGCCTTACGTTCAGTAACATTGATATTTATGGTCTATTTTTTTTTTTAATCTGGCACCCTTACTTACTTCAATTTCGAAACTTTTCCACATGTCTTGCTTTACTTAAAAATTTTGAGAAACACTGCAGTCGAGCAACCCGGGTTGGGCAACTCTTAAACGAGATAGAAACTAGTTTGAAACGAGTTTAGTAGAAGGAAATGATATTATGTAACAGAAATCCCGTGCACGGCTTAAACCAACTTTTATTTCTAGGAAAATTATTTTTCCCCGTGACCACCAACATTACCGAGTGGCAACGTTTAAAAGGCGTTCTAAGAACAGTTCTTAGGCTCGTTCCTTTTCTAAATGCGCCACTGTACAAAAAAGAAAAAAATCTAAAACATACATAAAGTGACAGTTACTTAAGAACGAAAAAATGTGTGTTCGTGTTTTCGACGTTTCCCGAATGTATTCGGTGGCATTTTCAA